AAATGCTGATATCTGAGGGCAGGGTGCGCAATTGATTTTGAGTTCCATCTCGATTTTTAATGAAGACTTCGTGGCCAATGCATGGCAAACAGTCCTATGTTTCTGGGCCGTTATGGCAATTGCTTTTTCGGTAAATGTATTCGGTGCAAAATACCTGGATTTGATCAACAAAATATGTATATATTGGACTTCGGCTTCGGTTATTATCATCATCGTTACTCTCCTAGTAATGGCGAATAACCGTCGAGATGCCGAGTTTGTTTTCGCCCATTTCGATGCTTCGGCATCCGGTTGGCCTTCTGGATGGGCCTGGTTCGTTGGTCTCCTTCAAGCCGCCTATACCTTAACCGGCTACGGAATGGTAGCTGCCATGTGCGAAGAAGTACAAAATCCCGAACGAGAAGTTCCTAAAGCTATGGTTCTATCTGTTTTCGCCGCAGGAATTACTGGAATACTCTACTTGATTCCTCTATTATTCGTTCTCCCCGATGTAACTTCAGTTCTTGGCCAATTAAACGGTCAACCCATCGGCTACATTTTCAAAACAGTCACTGGTTCTGCAGCCGGTGGATTCGGACTTCTGTTCCTAATCCTCGGTATCCTCTTCTTCGCTGGTGTTGGCGCCTTAACCGCTGCAAGTCGTTGCACATATGCATTTGCCCGCGATGGAGCTATTCCCGGCTCCCATATCTGGAAGCGCGTGCATCCTACATATGATATTCCATTGTGGGGCCTTGTCCTTTCTACTGTAGTAGATTGTGTGCTCGGATGCATCTATTTTGGCTCCACGAGTGCTTTCAATGCTTTCACTGGTGTGGCTACCATTTGTTTGTCGGTTTCGTATGGAATCCCCATTTTGGTCAATCTTATTCGGGGAAGACAGGCAGTCAAGCATGCTTCATTCTCCTTGGGCAGATTTGGATTTGCTATTAATGCTATTACCGTTGTTGTGAGTATCACAGATCCTTTCTCCTGACCAATTTACTAACCAATAACTATATAGTGGATTACTCTCGCCATCGTTCTTTTCTGCATGCCAACCGCTATTCCAGTCACTCCTACGAGTATGAATTACGCGAGTGTAGTTTTTGTCTTCTTCGCTTCTATCAGTCTTCTTTGGTATGTGATTAGAGGTAGAAAAGAGTTTAGTGGCCCTCCAGTTGTTTCGGCCGAGGAGGCAGAACACAATGGGGAGGTCGTGGGTGGTGTAGGAAGAGTTGTGACAGAGGATGGCAGTGGACAGGTTTCATATGGAAGCGATGCAGAGAAAGCGAGTCGGAAGTAAAGGTTTAGATTATTTGTAATTATGATTATGTGTATGGTATATGGTTTACGGGTTTCATGTAACAATACGACTCGGATGAATTAAAATGCGACGGGAGTTATTAAGAAAGAACGATATTAAAATTCGGGTGTCTTCTAGACAAAATCATAGTGTGTTCATATTGGTGCAGATCAAATAGTATGCCCAAACCTAATATAGACGATTTACCTGATAGCTATTGTTAGTCTTCCGTGTCGACACTCATTTTCGACCTTTCTTCTCTCCTCTTGTCTTTTTTCTCTTTCTTCCTTTGGGCTTTCAGAAGTTTCTTTGCCTCTTGTCTCGCCTTTCTCTCATCATCAGATGCCTGTTCAGTCTCAGGATCTCCTTCATAAGCTTTTTCAGTATCGGTAGGTGGATTATCTTTTGGAATCGCATCGACAGGTTTGCTGCGGAATAAATTGAAGTCTTCCTCATCCACATCCATTTGATTAACAGCCTTAGGCGATTTATCTTCCGGGTTACTCTGCTCATTATCCTCTTCCGCCAGCGCATTCTTTTGTTTCGACTTCTTCCTCTTCTTTTTCTTCGACTTCTTCGAGGTAACTTCCGTGCTTTCATCTGCATCCTCCAGATGGAGTAACAAAGCTTTATTGACCAGTTCTTTTCCTTCTTCAACCTGATTTTGAGCAAGCAAAGCTTTGTTGATCAATGGTTTATCATCTTCCCCTCCATTTATCTTATTGTGCTTCGTCTTCAGCTTCTTTGCTTTCCCTAGGGCAGTTCGTCCCTCTTCCTCATCACTGCTAGCATCCGCCAAAGCCCTCTTCGCACTCGCAGCCTTCTCCTCGGCATCCCTCGCTTTATTAGCTCTTAATTCTTTCGAAGGAAGCATTTTATCGCGCAAAGTTTTCTGGTTCCGTTCCGCAGCCGGCTTCAAGAATTTCGCAAAAGCTGGATCTGTATTAAGTGGTTGATTTCCCGCCGGTGTAGGAAACCATAAGGCATCCTCTGCGTCGATTTCTTCCTGCGTCTTACGGCGTCTTTCGGTAGGGTATTTTGCTAGGATGTTTTCCGCAATGGCTTCACGTTTTGCGAGGGCCATTTGTATACGGTTCATCTTCGCATTGAATTCCTCCCATGTTTCTTTCTTGGGTGGAGGTGCTTCCGTTTGATCATCTGCGAATTTGGCCATGCTGCGCTATTCTAAATGGCTGTATCGTGCGATGTTTGAATCCTCGTGCGGGGAGATTTAATTGCGTAGCTTCGTCCTGCGTTACCGCGTAATGCGGCGTATGTTCATTCGTTGCACCAAAACGAGTTTATTAATATTGTAAGACTTGACAAGGCTAAAGTATTCGTTCGTAGAATAAAAATAATTTGACAAGGCTCAAACTCAAATGTTTCAAGGATTTATCTTTTATCCCACCTAGCCCACGTGAAAGTAGCGTTGTCGGTCCGTTACGCTTCCCGTACTAGCTTCGCGAATTCCCGTTTGACGGAAGGACAATCACTGAAAAAATGATCTGGTTACGATAGAAAGACGGCATTGTGTCTTCCGCTTTTAATAAATATCAACATGTTCAAGCTAGCTAGAAGCCAACCTTTGGCAGCTGCCTTGAAGGCAAGCAGGGTAATTCTTCCACATATCAAAAAAGTCTCTTATCAACAAAGTTAACATGACCCTAGGCCTCAATGCCATCCCGCATGGTCGGCGCAGCGCAACAAAAGAGAGCTTTGAGCATTCACGAGTATCTTTCAGCAGATTTGTTAAGAAAGGTACGAAATAATCATATGGGCGGAGACGAATCTGACGAGAATACAGTATGGAATTGGTGTTCCTGATGGATCTGTTGCGAAAACAGCCGCCGAGGCCGAGGCTATTGCAAAGAAGATTGGCGGAGATGACATGGTTATCAAGGCACAAGTTCTTGCAGGTGGAAGAGGAAAGGGTACTTTCGACAATGGGTTAAAGGGAGGAGTCCGAGTTATCTACTCTCCAACCGAAGCAAAGATGTTTGCAGAGCAAATGATCGGACACAAGCTTGTCACCAAGCAAACCGGTGCCCAAGGACGTATTTGCAACTCTGTCTATATCTGCGAGCGCAAGTTTGCTCGTCGGGAATTCTACCTTGCTATCTTGATGGATCGTGCTTCCCAAGGACCAGTCATCGTTTCTTCGTCTCAAGGTGGAATGGATATCGAGACTGTTGCAAAGGAAAGCCCAAACGCAATCACTACTACCTACATTGATATCCACAAGGGTGTCACTGATGATATCGCACGAAAGATTGTCACTGATATTGGTTTCAGTGAGCAATGTATCGAGGATGCCAAGGATACTGTTCAAAAACTTTACAAGATCTTCATGGAGAAGGATGCTACTCAAATCGAGATCAACCCTCTATCCGAGACCTCTGATCACAAGGTTCTTGCCATGGATGCTAAGCTTGGTTTCGATGACAACGCCGAGTTCCGTCAAAAGGAGGTTTTCGAATGGCGCGATACTACCCAAGAGGATGCTGAAGAAGTCCGTGCCGCAGAGTCTGGTCTTAACTTCATCAAGCTCGGTGGTGATATTGGATGTTTGGTAAACGGTGCCGGTCTTGCTATGGCTACTATGGATATCATCAAGCTTAACGGTGGTGAGCCAGCTAACTTCCTTGATGTTGGAGGTGGAGCCACCCCACAAGCTATCAAGGAGGCTTTCACTCTTATCACCAGCGACCCCAAGGTTACTGCTATCTTCGTTAACATCTTCGGTGGTATCGTTCGTTGTGATGCTATTGCTCAAGGTCTCATCAGCACTGTTGAGAGCATGAACCTTAGAATCCCAATTATTGCAAGATTGCAAGGAACAAACATGGAAGCTGCACACAAGTTGATCAACGAGTCTGGTCTTAAGATCTTCTCCATTGATGACTTGCAGAGCGCAGCTGAGAAGGCTGTCCAATTCTCAAAGGTTGTGAAGATGGGTAAGTTCACTTTCAATCCATGATGTTTGATGATTAACGCTAACATAAATTAGCTCGTGATATCGATGTTGGTGTTGAGTTTTCTTTGGGCATTTAAGCAGTTACATAGATGGGTTTTCTCTTGTTTGTATTGATTCCCTCCGTCTTTAGATCAATGGGTGACCGGGGCTGAGTTACCATGTATAATGCATTGAGTTTCATGTCCACATTTATTGTCTCTCAGTTTTTGTTCTGTGAAATATTCTGAAATTTGTGATGATCACATTCTGGTTAAAACTTGGAATACTACTAGGCGTAATGCGATAACCTATAGATAGAAACAATGGACGGTGATGGCCCTGCATCAGAAACATATTCCAGCATAAGAAATCCAATCACGAACTCTATTGATTGAAACAAATCTTATTAATTCCACCAGATTACCAACTCATCCATCCATCCATCATTCGTTTATCTTTCCGTCTCAACCCCACCCCCAAAGACTTCAAATTCACAACTGACCAGTCCCCAATCCCCAACCTCTAACCCAAATTCAAACAACAAACACCTCTCCCATTTTCCAGCCCCCACCAATTATCCTAAACTTCTAGAGTATCCAATCGCAATCACACACGCCGGTTCCATCCCCATCTCCCCCTCTTTATTCACATTCCCAACTCTCATCTCCTCCCCTGCTCCGTTCCACTTTCCCCTCTCACCCCTTCACAGAAAAACAAATACCACAAAAGCAATCCCCAGCGCCATCCAATCAATCTCCCTCATCATCCTCCCCAAACCCCGATAATACGGACGTAGCATCGCGAGGATATAGAAAATAACCAAAGGGATGGTGCTCCAGAGGAGCAAGACCGCGTTGCAGAAACGGAGGAAGTAGGGCGCGAGTTTGGAGAGGGGTGTGCGGGAGAGAAAGTGAGGAGTGGGGGAAGAGGGGTGTGGAAAAGGATTGGGGATTGTGGGGGGGCGGGAGAGGTATAGCTGGGTGAGGTAGAAGGGGGTGGGCTGGAGGGGGTGTTGAGGGGTGGAGGGGGGAGGGATGAAGTGGGGAATGAAGAGGCGAGTGGTTGGGATGTTGGGATGTTGGGGATTGTGGAGAAGAGGGGAGAAGGGGCGAGTAGCTCGGTATCCGGTGGTCCAGGAGAGGGGGGAGTAGGAGGTGTATGGGGAGATGAATCCATTATTTGCTTGGTTGAGAGACATTTTGAGCTAGCTCTGTTTTTTGGGGATGAGATGGTAAGTACGAGATGATTGTGTGGGGTTGGGTGGGAGATTTAAGCTGGATGTGAGTGGTAGGTAGCTTTTGAATGAGGAATGAGAGTTCCGTTTGAAAAGACTGCTGTGGGAATTCGAGCGGTATTCTCTTTGCTTGTTGGTGAAGCAGGAAATTTAAAAATGGAATAGGGAAGAGGGAAGAGAAATGAAATACTTATGGATGCCAAATCTAGCTAAGAGGACAGGTGCTGGAAGTTTCTAGGTTTTATTAGAGGACTCTACTATCTATTATGAGTTCAATATCGCAGGATAATAGACTTTGCTTCGCTTGCCTAGATAGATACAGGTTCGCTAGTTGACTTGTCTACAATTCTCATTGTTTCTATGTTGTAGTGAACGTTTCGTTTTAGGTAGCGAAATTTCCATGCGGGATTGCGGTAGTTCTCGCTTAGATATCTGGGGACTGGTTTTCTTTGGAGGTCCTTATTGTGTTGCTTGTAGTGAGTGATTCAAGGCGAGTTTGAAGGTGAAGATGAAGGTAGAAATGGAGGCAGGGAATACCGCCCTGTGATTTGAGTAGATTCTTCGGTTTTTAGAGATTATAAATTTGACGAAGAGAATCGCACGGAATGTAAGAGTTACTTGAAGGGACAAGAGATTATGCATTTAGAAATGATTTAGGGCTTGAAAGTTTGCATGTGGGATACACAACCTGCAAGGAAACCATGTGAAGCTTGATCATCGGATCTTCCTCTGTGTTTTTGTGTAGGAGTAGAAGCTGATTGCCAGCGCCTCAGAATCATAATAACAGTCATGTGTCTATTTAGTCAGGGAAGATATTTTCCCCCCCCAATTGATTGATGAGTTATCACGCTATGGTATCTTCTTGCTTGTGGTCTGGACTATTATTGACTATCATATTGATGATGAGGGGAATTGGGAAAGACTTTATGAGCTGGTAAGCATAGAGGAAAATAGTAGGATCCAGAAGAAGTGATCGTATTGTATATGTAATATGTTCAGAACTGCGGGGCCACGATGATATCAGTCACTGTTAATTGCCTTCAAAACTAAAACTTTTAGTTTATGTTTCCCAGCAAGAGGAAGAATTTACTCTGCGATATTGACTTCCTCTACACTGTCTAACGATGAACCGTTAAGTCTCAGGGTAGTTAAAAATAATCTCATCAAAATTTGCGATACAAAATCATCGTCACGAGTAAATGTAGAGGGTTGTAGGAGCATAGCAGCCTCAAGGCGTTGCTGAAGACGAGCATACCCAGACGTAATTGACAGAGTGAAAGTGAACCTCATTAACAGAGATACCGCATATTATTTTTTATGGCTGATCGCCTAGGAAATCATTAATAATGCAGGTATTTGAACAGTGAAGATTATAGAGGAAAGAAACCGAAGGATGATTAAAATTCACAACAGTTTAAAAGCGTTCCAAGCGGATAAACCCACGCACTTCAGATCTATCTTCAACGCCAACCTTTTCATTACCTCTCAGAATAACACTCTTCATCTAAGCCGAATAACCCACACCCGGCACGCCGCTTGCGTATACATTCACACGCCAGTCTATTTACTGGCCCAAAGATAAAATTGACCTCGTCAGAAAATAAAGCTTGACTTAGAACTTGCCAATCATTATGTTGTTTGGACACAAATTGAAAATCGACCATCGCCTCTTGAGTCAGGTTGTAATGTAATTTCCAACATGTGCGGATAGCATTACTGCAAGGGCGAGAATTCTCTGGAAATTTTTTCTTACAAAGATATCCTCACCAGTCCCTACTGACTTATCTACAACGTAAGGAGAAACTTCATGTGGTATTATAGTGAAGTACAAATCGGAGGCCAGAGCAAAGAAATCAGTTTCAATGGTTTATATAAAATCATTCGTTTGAGAGCGCATATCTAATAGCCCGCCCCCTAGAAAGGCATCTTTTTCCGGACATAGATGTTGACCATGGTAATCCGATAGCTTGATATTAACATCTTTATCGAGAATAATATTTGGGAGCTGGAGACTGCAATACAGAACACATGAGTGGAACCATCTATTGGCAGGTTACTGTGTCCTCAATAGCTTTCTCTTCAGAAGCCTAGTTCAGGTCCAATCTCAAGGCATAGATGCAGAAGTTTTGCTTCTTTTGGCAGTCTTCACGGCCACTTTTTGAAATCCATATTTCTTGCCCACCTGCACTCTATTTCCCATCTCGATATTCCCTCCCCCTCCATCCTCCTCAAATCTCATCTCAACCCCCAATTTCCCGCTTTCACAATCCTTAAATTCTGCGCCCAAGTCTCCGCACAACTAATCCCAGCATCCGTTCCCCGAAATCCTTTCGTCCTCCTGGAAATCAGCGCCAAAGCAACCAATTCTCCAATTGAGCCCCACGATTTCGTCGTCCAGCCTACGAAATATAGGTACACGATAAAAACAAACGCTATGAGAGTATGTGTGAGGAGAGCAGCTAGTGCCAATCGAGTTGTAGAGCCTTTGATACTGTAACTATAACCTCGCCTCCAGAAGTAAAACTTCCACGAGCTGGTACGAGATTTGTCACAGCAAAGTGCAAATGGTGTATACTTATATGTGTCAGCTATTCGTGTACAAATGTTTGTGTCTGGCTCAGAACTAATAGACAGTGAGTATAAATCACCTTGTGTATACCGGGCCAGAGAGTTAGTTATGAGAATGCCTAGGAATATTGATATGAAGGCTTGAATCATCGATTCGGGAGCTGATACATTAAATCGAGCCGCATCGCAATTGCAGATGTGGTCCCACAAGTGAAGCCAGAACGAATCCGGCGCCGAGGAGCCCAAACGGGAGACCACCCCCAAGGGCTAAAAACAATACAACAAAATGTGAAGTTATTGCCGTAATAGAGATAACGATCCATGTTTCGTGAACTTTGGCTGCAAACTGCAGCGCATTCAATGAGTTGTTTTGCCATCTTCCGTTATCTACGTCACGCCACTACACAGGGTTTACATTCAAATACACTAGTACGTTGGTGATAGCGATGGGACCGAGATGTAGTGTTAAGAAAAGACTTGCTCGCCGACTGTCCAGCGCATACTTCGTAGGCTCTGCCTGGTTAAATGATACATTTTTGGATTTAGAATTAACCAAAGGCCTCGATGTCGTGAAAGTTTTCCCGGGTAGGGATGAATCGCCTAACAAAACAAAGCCTGTGTCTGTACATTCTATTCTCAAAAAAAATTCAGCGTGGTTGTATATATGAAAAGAAAGCTATGGGTCGCTACGGCAGATTTAAAATTTCGAAGTTTTCTCAGAGGATGCGAAGGGACCCAGTTTCACAAGTTTGAGTATACGAACACCCTTTTGGACAATCTGTAAACATATATACCTGCTCAGTTGTTTTATACACTGGGGGCGATCAAAGGCTGTGAATATGCGGTGTTACTGAATGAAACAGCCCCCACTAAATGTAAGCATCACGTCGTATGCTGCGCTTTCAGTTTTATATCGAATGTGCCGCATGATTTCTTGAGGCACAGCATTGTCAGGCATTTTCTTTTCTCTTAAATAAAAGATATTAAATCGAGAGACTTCCCATACTTGAGATATTCTTGGAGAAGTCTAAGATTTCACAGAAATCTATGTTCGAATCAGATTACTACTCCGATTTGTGCACCACTAGATTCCTCAGAACGGTAAAAGCGAAGGTCTTGGTATACTTGATAACATGCCGTTATGAAAGACCCTAGAGACATAAGTGTGCAAGGAACGGAAATGAGCAAAGCTTCGCAGAAACAAATAGACGCATGGAAAGGGATCGATAGGAGGGACGGGAAAACCCCAATGAAAGTGCTGAGGAAACAAGACAAGCAGGTGGAGAACGATACGAGGAAAAATAGCACTGCTATCTTACAGGAAGATGTAGGGATGCAAATCCCTACGTAATTGGAAAGGAAACCATGATAAGAATTGGCGAGTGAAGGAACTGAAGGCAACAACCAATTGCGTTAGTCACGGTTCCTTCCATATCCTCCAAACCTTATTTCAATCTCAAGACAGAGTGTAGACTTGGATTATGAGAAAATAAACGGCTTCAACTGTATAGCTTCTCCCTTCCCGTGCATGCGCCGAGAGTTGTCCATACCGCAAACAAACAATTCATAATTTCATATGCATTGCATGACTCGGGACATGAAGCTAAGTGTGTGATCGACAGACGCCTCCAAAGTGCGAGATGCAACAAAACATTCGTAAACTTGCTGAAGACCCATTTTCTAAAGTGCGATGTGCAACAAATGAGCGCTCGGAGGGGTGGAGGGACATTGATCTGGGAAGATCCCATAGAAATAATTCTCCCTTGCATTTGTCCCTCCCTCCTGACACGAGGTATTTGCAGAATTGATAATATTGCGGCAAGGAATCCAATTGTCAACAAGCACTTGAATGCTTTTATCAGGACTAATTCGTATTATTCATTCCAAGAGCGACCTGCATTTTCTACTAATGTTTGTGGAAAACCTGGAGATACCTGAATCCTGGAGTTCCCGGAATAAATCCCAGAAGAGATACAACTTTGTACATTTTGAACCCAGGATCATGGATTTGAAGTTTCGATCTTTTCTACACATACCAAGAATGTATTATCTAGCGATTATACGATACTATAAGCAGCGAGTAAATATACCTGACGCGATAGAACTCTTTGTATGAGCTTCAAATAAAGTTGTTGATCCTCAAATAGAGTTTGAAATTCCTGAGAAAGGATTAATGAGTTGAAAAGCTAGACTCAGGATTTCGGAATGGAATTCTTGGGTTTTGGGTATGTGCGTGTAGATTTCCATATTATTTAGAGGAGTCGACCCACTGGGATTGAGATCAAGGATTAATTCTCATTGGGTGTAGTGACGGAGAGGTGGAGTGTAGTTGTCGATATTGAATGATGGCGACGATGATGATAGAGGCTCTACAGCTGTTGAACTGGATGATGAGGGTGATGAGGGTGATGATGATGATGATGATGATGATGATGACGATGATGATGTCTTTGTCGTTGTAAACGTGTCTAATGTATTGCTTGACATTAAAGAAAAGTCGATGTGGCACTTCACTTCCCGTGACTCCCGTGCTGTGCCGCAATGCCAGGTGAGTTCTGTGAAAATTTGTATCTGGTGCCTGAAGCTTGAGCAGATTGAGGATAGTGAAAATGATTGACCCACTTAATCCCACTTCCCCATTTTGATGATTAAAGGGGCTTCTTTTCTTGGCATTCTTCCTTGAGTCGGTCTCTAGACTCTGAGGTGCGCTCGTGCGGTAAGATCACACGAGTGAACTGTAACATGCATCTATCTACTCATCTCCTCTATTTCAATCCGGTTGTCAAGTAATCTTGCAGACAACAGTGGCTTTTGCTTTCATTGCAGGTTTCCAGCTGCAGATGTCCAATCAATCCAAAAAATCATCAAGCTTAAATGTAAATCGATCTTTCTCGTCATAATGAATTCAATGGAATGAAATGATGTACCAGATCCCTGTGCAGATCAGACAATTGTATGTCAAAAGCCCGATGACTCCCATCATTCCCTAGCCGATGCCTATCCATCTAGACTTTAAGCGATGTAAAAATCCTACATCGTAGATTTCGTAGTTCCTAAACGGGATCAAAGGGCCGCTGTTCTCTCTTAGTAAACAGGGGAAAATATTGAAGTAGCCGCTGTCACACAAGGACAATCCATTAAATCCAATCTTATTTATCCAATCGGAGGTTTATCAGATGCCCAGATATCAGTCTTATGCTTATTAGTGGAGGAATACCTAGCAAGACAGGGGCATAGAAGATAGCATCACTCTCCAACTCCAAGACAGGACAAAAGCCGCTGCGAATAATCAGTAAGACGTAGATTTAAATACTCCGTCTTTCGTCTTCAGCTTCAACACCAACTTCAAATCCAACTTCAACTTCATTCCTTTTACAGAACTTCCAGCAAAAGACCTTTAATGCAATAAAACTACCAAATCGACCCATTTCAAGACTTTACTAATCAAACCTTCGCCAATATGCACGCCATTTCCATCTCAACCTTTGCCGCTGCCCTTATGGGTACTGCTGTCACAGCTCAGACAACTACTGTAACAGATTTGTTCCTTGTTGGATTCGACTATGGGTACAACAGTTCTGAACAAGCTCCATATGTTGGTTCTGTTATTGCTTCCGTAGGTTATATCTGTAAATCACAGAACCGCAAAGATTTTCTAACCATAACGGTTATCTAGGACGCTACTGCTACCACCTACTCCATTGCCTGTGGTTCTAAAACCGCTGCTCCAGCTACCACTTCTTCCTACTACGATGACAGCTACGATTGTGGTGTTCCTCCTAACTTCACCTTTACGCAAGGCCCTTCAACAATCGCTTATACCTACACGATTGGCGATGCCGAAGACTTTGCCGTCACGGACAGTGTTTCCGGCTCATCATACCCAACCGGTGACGCGTACGTATTTACATCATATGCTTGGAATTCCAAGACTAACATTTACCCTCATAGTACAATGACACTTGGCTGTGTCCTCTCCGGTACTTCTACTGGAGTCTGTAGCTACACCGAACTTGAAGCCGCAGCATCAACAACCTTTTCCTCCATCGAGACTACAACCGTCAGTGGCACTGAGTACGCTGAAATTTTCACCGGTGTCCCCGTTACCATCACCGCTGGCCCAGCAAGCACTACCGGCTCTGCATCTGGTGCTTCCGCCTCCGCTTCTGCTTCAAAATCTGGTTCAGGATCTGCTGCAGGATCTGCTACTTCCACCGGAGGTATGCCTATGATTACCGCCAAGGCACAATGGGTTGTTGGTGGTGCTGCTGCTGCCATGGTTATGGCTGCTTTGTGATTGTTGTGATTACTAGGCACTCGTCTTGGTGGTCTGAGAGAATTCGATTCTGAACTAAATGCACGTATTATGCGCCAATGGTGTAATGGTTGGTCTAGAGATTCATGTGCATATTTACCTTCTAGGGAGATGGAGTCATCTTAAAAAAATACTGGTAGTATGATATCATGATTCTATAGCGTTGAGTAACGAAAATAAATATTAATACATTTTATAATTTAATGTTGGATTGCTTTCATAGCCCTCTGAAGTGCTTCAGATATTAACTTCATTTTGCTAATGGTACATTATCCAGAAATTCTAAATTGTGATCAACATTTCAGAATAGGTATAGTACTGCAACTCAGCAATAGTCGCTATAAATCATTCAGCGCAAATCTGAACTACATCCTTTACACTCAGCCCAACTACCCTCCAAATAATACACCATTCACGATACTCAACTGCACCAAATCAAACAAGAGAAACTCCAATATTCCAAGATGATTCAATATAGAAACAGAAAATCCATTACCGCCGCGCCCCAAGATTCCAAAACCACAAACTTCGCCTATCAATTTTCAAATCCGCTTACATACCCATAAGCCCACGGCGCCTCCAATCCTCACATCATCCACTGCAAAATTCTAATATCAAGCCAATCATTAATTTTTCTAAATTACTCTATCCTCTAGATTCCAGCGTCTAATTCAAACATTCATACATTGCCCTCCTTCATTTACGTTTTAGCTTGAATTTAATTCATCGTCCCAAATGTTCGCTCCACCGACCTAGTAGCTAAAATTAGACTAGCAATCTGATACATCACGTTTCCTTTCTCTATCATATTTTGCGTTTTAAATATTGTATTCACAATTCCAGCCTAGGTACCTATTTAACAAACTCAAAGGAGTCATTTGATTCCTAATTCAGCAAGTACAAAAACTATAAGAATAACATCAATCATATCCAATCCAAATATCCATATATATATTTTCTCCTACGCCATACACACAAACATACTCCCCAAAATACCTGTGTAAGCAGCTATCGGATTCTCACTACCCGAACCGCAGCAAGCGTCGACCACCTCTGAATCACCAGAGTGAAAAAATAATTCATTACATTTTGGTGCTTTGGTGGCGCGCAAAACTAATCGTGCTGAGCTGAGAAGATGATTTGTCGGAATTCGCATTGGTAACTCTATTTTAGAGAGATAGACGTCTCACGTTAGATTTATGTTGGGGGCGGGGTAACCTATTTACCTACCGGTACTAAGGTATTAATCTATCTATCTATCTATCTAGAATAACAAATAAATGTATGATTTAACATTTGTTTGTTTCCCGGGTGCACTTTCTGGAGCTGAATAAGTTCGTCTCATGTTATAGATCTCCAGTTTCATAGGTGTTACTGTCGTATTGATTTTCTTTTCATCGACTGCAGTATCTTGATCCTGAGCCTCTCGATCTATTTCCTTTTGATCGACAACTTATTAAACTTTACTTACAATCATCATGTCTAAGAGGACCGTCTTCACAACGGTGACGCCGTTACCAACAGGTATCACACGAGAGACAGTTATGGAAACTTTGCGCTCGCATGTCGAAATGATAGATTTGAATCCTCTAGTGGAAGAACGTCATCCGATCAAACCTCCACCAAATGCTACTGCCGAAGAATATCATTGTTTATGGTACTCTTTGACAGATCGAGTACAATATCTTCCTGGGGGACTGATGTCCGGAAAAGTCTCGTATACCTGCTGCTTTCACGATCTCGAAAATGGACTGCAAACACACTGCTATGCGCCCCTGGGATTGAACATCAGAGGAAAGTGGACTCTTGGTGGGTCGCTACCCGGAGAACCAGTTGCGCCAGTCGAAATGGGAGTTAATGTACCTTTACACGGGTTATGGTTGAGAGAGGATGTTGACATGAAATGCAATATTGTTATGACAAGCTTTGTAAAGAAAACCCTCAAGAAATCACACTCCGCGTTAGTAAACCGTCTACTGGTTAAGGCTCAACTTCTAGATCGCTCTATCAGCAATGCTCGACTGAATGAGAGGACCCTCAGTACACCAGAATATGCCACACAACGACAACGACCCTTTTCAACACAAACGCCCTTATCACAACCATCGACTACATATTCTCCAATCAGCGATTATGATAACGATAGTGTATCTGCAGAGTCGGAAGTTAGATCACCACAATACTCTACATTTGCTGCGCAAAACACACCAGCTTCACAGAAATCAAAGGTGTGCCCGCCAATAACCTCACAGAGTCCTCAACTACAGACTTCGCAAGTACATCCCGCTCTTCGAGTTGGCCCACCTCAACCTCAAGCAAACCCCGAGTTTAACGAAAAGCCCATCTATCCCAAATACGATCCCTCAGCTTATCCTCGAGCTCTAGATGTCCGCCGCGAAAGTGCATCATCTTGGAACGGTTCTGATCAGGGCTCAGGAAATCCAACAGGCCGCGTGTCTTACCAAAGCTCTGCTGATAGCATGCACAATGATAACAGGAAAAGAATAGCGTCGTGGCAAAACCCAGTTGGAAGCAATATGTGGAATTCATCTCGACCACCAAACCCAGGAACCCAGGGAGCCGCGGCTCATTATCGCATTGCCTCTTCCCAGTCTGGATATAGCAATCCGAATCCTGCGCATGAAAGGAGGGATGAATCAGGCAGACAAGATATAGGAAATAGGGCGATTCCGCCTCCGCCGACTTATCATGCTGAGTTGGAAGGATAAATTATACAGTGCAAAGTGATACGAAGACGTTGGGACAGAACAAAACCGATCACAAAGCCGAGGGTATTGAGCTCTGGAAATGTAATGATATTGAGGACGTAGTCGCAACTACTTGGTTTAATGGTTTTAAGGCGTGAATTGGTATGATACCCGTGGGACTTTATGGAAGAATATGATTCAATAAAGGAGAAATATTGGGACGATTCCAAGCTCTGGAGTACATATTGATTGTGAATTGATATACTTATATCTCAAACATTTATGTGAACATTTCCAGAAATGGAATCCATTGAAGCTAAAAGTGATCCAATGGTTGTGATAAAGATATAAACAAGAGAACCTACAGATGTTGAAACTTGGAATGTCAGTTATTAGAATGAGTTCGATTATTATTTTGATGAACAGGTATGTTTCATGGTTCTTTCTTTGAGTGTATACCTACGCAAGATCAAAATCCCGGGCTGACTTCGGGTCATTCCATAACCTTAGACGAACAATCAACTAAAGCCACACTTGCTGTGTCATAACATTTAAAGTACCCAATTTATAATTTGTGATGTACATCGATGCTCTCTAAAGTTCCATCTGGGTAGGTAGCACCAAGTTGCTCTGGATTTTGTCTGGTCATAGATAATTATTTTAGCCAAGAGAATCAGCTATTCCGCTATCAGCTCCGATACGATCAATATCTCCGCAGATCCACTCGAGCTTCCTTTATTGCTCGGTTTAGCTCAAAATCCCTAACCAGCAACTCATCCCACCATTCGGCACATTGCAGACACACTCCAAACTTTCGACCTCTCCCTTTTTTAATATCTGAAGCGCAAAGCATTCAATTCTCACAATGTCTGATCAAACAGTCAACATCCCACAACTTCTCATCATAATCCTAGTCGGAGCGTTCGCAGTGCGATATTTATTCTTCTCCGGGTCCAATAATGGCTCCTCGGGTTCGAATCGCAATAGCGCAAGTAATGTTCGGGCACGAGAGGCAGATGTAGAGCGTATACAACAGATGTTTCCACAGGTGTCGAGGAGGAGTATTATGTGGGATTTGCAGCGGAATGGGGGAAACGTAGTGGCTACCACGGAGCGGATATTGAGTGGGAGAGGCTTAGAAGTTGTGAGTATTGCTATATCTTTGCTTTGTTTTGAATGTTTTGCGGCAAACTTTATATTTAATACATATTCTTCTCATCTAACCTGATATACATTTGCTAATATCATGCAAGCCTCCTCAATCTTTTCAACCACCGCTCCCAGCACCCGCCGCCGCCTCTTCAACATCAATCCAAACTTCTAAGCCCACCCAACCAGATTTAATAACACGATACAATCTGAAAGCGAAACTAGCAGAAGAACAAGCGGAAAAACGAGAAGCTGAAGAGCGAGAATCGAAACAGAAGCAAGGAGGGGGTGCAGCTTGGAGTTCTAATAAAAATGAAAGACAAGCGCTTTTGCAGAAGAGGAGAGAGGAGATGATTTTAGCGGCAAGGAGGAAAATGGAAGCAAGAGTTGCGAAGGAGGTTGAGCAAGGTGGGAGTGGGTAGATTAAAATGGGATGGGATGGTGGCGTTCTGAAAGGATATTGAGATGGGAGGGGGGGATGGGAGGAGAGAAGAGATGATGGATGTGTGCATGGTAATGTACAACTTCTGTATAGCGTGTTCATAATGACCTTGATAGTGGAGTTGATTCATAAAGTCTCAAAATTAAAGCAGATGTTTACCATTCAATTATGGCCAGTGCCAGATAGTTCTTGAATGCTTGACTTTCTAGGATTAATCTACCCTAATTTGGAGACGATAAGTCCTAAATTGGGTGTTAATGTATGTTTCTATGTAATCCCAATTTGGGATACAGAACTGAACCGTTGTCAAAGGGAGAAGGTACCTGCCCAGTGAGTTTACGGTTATTGTCGCCCAACTATGAACTGTATTGACGCACCTGCCAAAGACGGTTGATGGATGTAGTCTAAATCCAAAAAAGTATCCACGACTTGCGTTCTTGTATTTTTTAAGAGGTTGATCTCCCTCATCATTGCAAATCAATACAGTTTGCTTCTCCCCCATTTGTCCACCCTATTACAGATGTTCCTATATCCTTTATATCTGTTATACATCATTTAATGGCACATGCTCGAGTTTGAATATCGGTAATCGTATGGCGCAAAGCGTCATGAGACGTCCAAGTCTCCGTCGATTTAAACAAAGCACGGATGGGTCATCATCTCCTCCTGCAAATTCTTCTTGTACACCCCCTTCCAGTTTCCGTGGCTCGTCGTATTTTACTTCAAAGGTAGTCAAGCGGGCAAAGAAGACAAGCGAAGATTCGCCAAACTATTCATCTCCCTTATCTTTCTGGACTAAGCGGAATTCTCCAGAAATCGAGGAGAGTCCCCACGGATCCACTATTGTAAACAACCCTGGTTCTACTGTAGAATCAAAGTCTCCAAGGAAAGACGTCCAAGACTGGAACATTACTAGGCTTTTTGATCCAATTCCCAGTGATTCGATTAATCAGACCCCAGTACAAGGCCCATCTCATAGCAACTCGGATTGGAATGAACCGATAAATTTCGATACCAGACCAATTGTTCCACAACAAGGAATTGACCCACCTCGACCCGCCCGTGAAGGTTATGAATGGGTATGGTTTCCAGCAGGATACTGGGCTGAGCGCGAGCTACCAGCAGGGCTCAGCATAACGAATCCAGAAGGACTTAGAAGTGGTAAAACCTATTTCTTTTCAAGAGCTGGTGAAAGTACGAGCAATGACTCTGAGGGATCCACATCGCCAAAAGGCTCTCGAAGATTTTGGGGTAGCTTCTCTTCCAGGGTTGTCAAACAGTATTCAGGGCAATCGTTCAAGGGATCCATAAACTCCGCTATATCTTCAAGTAAAAGTGAAAGATTTTTGAATACCTTACAATCGATATCACCAACCCATTCTCGGAACGGTTCTCCCTCGGTTGAATCCGAAGGGCTTTGTGGCAAGACAAAACGCAACACACCTTTAAGACTCCATCTTGCAGTACCCTTCAGTAGAAAGAAAAAGGTCACATAAAATGATAACCTTCCTTTTGATACGGTTCGCTAACATCCACACAGAAGCCCGACACGCCATCTGTTGCGTCTTCACGAGTTACACCATCTAGTCCTCAAACTGCACGGGTTCTCGAGGGTGCCATTGGCTATTTCGATACATACGGAGAGCAGCCAAACGCTACATCGTCATCCTCAAATGCATCAATGGGATCGAAGCCTCGGTGGAGATTTGGAACCCTTCCGTGGCATCGGAGGCTATCTGACAACTCAATGTCAGCCTCTAGCTCCATATGCGATCTATTGGCCGGAAAAACTCCAATGGGAACACCAAGATCCGATCAACGTTATGTTGGAGCAGCAGGAAAATCATACGTGAAAGGTAACTGATACACTGTGGAGTAATATTTCAATCTCGATTCTGACATCTCTAGTTGAAATATCGGAACCTGATGCACCTACTTTTCTTCCGTCTGTAAGTGTACTTGTTAGGAATATCTCCAGATGAAGTGATTCGCGACCCCAATAGTCATCACACGCATTCCATCCATTCAAAATTATAACCTTTCAGGCTTGACCAGACGATGCAGAATGTTAGTTAACAACACAATCTAGGAAGCTCAACGAGTCGACACACCGCTGTGGTCCCCCAAGCGAGACCCCCGGCGTGGCTTTCTTTCAAACATGTTTCCATACGAGAGTGAGCAAAAGGTACCAGAGAAACACTGTAGTGGCACGGCGAGACAGCGACGTGATACAAACCGCTCGACTTTACGACACTTGTTAAAAACGCCAACGCTGTTCACCCCAACTAGTCGTCATGGGTCACCAGAATCCGAAAGGCACTCCAAATCGAGACCTTCAACACCCATTAGATCTTCTGTGTCGCAACACTTTTCCAAAGCCCATGCCTTTGAACTCAATGTTCCTGATCATTTACCTAACAGTCCCCTATGCCCTGCAAATCCTATGCATCCGAGCAAAGGTCAAGCAGTATGTCCAATGCATGGTCGCAATAGAACTCAGAGTCACTCGCCTAGTTTTAGTCGAAGTAGAACGCCTGATATCGAGATAAGAGTAATATCAGATCAAGAGTGAAAAGGGACGATTCTGAGATGGGTTGCTGGATAGAGTTCGAGAGGAGCTTGTAGACTAATAATAGATATTGATTAGGTACTGTAGTCACTAAATTGATCAAAGGTCTACTGTATACTTTTTCGTTTCCCTCTTGTTGATAGTAGTTCTGGAATAAAAAGTTGTCAATATTTATGAATGACTATATTTCAATCTGTATCATCATATACCTTCTGTATTTGTAAATTTCGTGATATCATTGATGATACAATGAAAAGGGTGAACTTTAAGCAACCGAGAAATTTCAATTCGTCTGTGGCTGAACTCGGCAACCGTATTTTATTTTGGCTCACTCGCGACAAGCTGCAATAGCTCACCTTCCAGCAATCTTGCTTCTTCTTTAATCCCGAAAACAAAAACTCAAGGCAATCACATCTTTTGACATCGATTGAATTGATCATCATGTCTGCTTCCGATCAAGATCCTTTACTTCTCCTGCGACAATCGATAGCCTCAGAAAGTCCTTGCATACCCACTACCACAGAAGACGCAGCATCCTCAGTAGACCTGAGTCTGGCAACAGCAACCTACCTCCACTTTACCTCACCCCTCCAAGTATCAATTCCATTCACGACTGCCACACGTTTCATTTCCTCGGACAAACCTGTAAATCTTCGCAGCATCTATTTCGCATGGCAGCAACGCGAACTAGCAATCCCAGAATACAATGCATCATCAACGACATTGAGCGCGCAATTGGCGGCAGAGGGCGGCGCTGGTGGTGAAATCCAAAATTTGTCATTTGTAGAACGTTTGGATCTTATTACGTGGTTGGAGGGCGCGTCGGATGAATCGCAATATATTAAGCCTTTAGCTTCAGATACGTCAAATGCGACAGCCTCGGCGCAGGTTGCTTCTGGGGCGGCTGGGGGGATAGCACCAGTCACCAGTGGTATGGGAGGTAGACAGGGAAAGAATGTTGATCCTAGGCTAGCAGAGATCTACAATGGGGAAAGGCGGATGGGAGATAGGAATAGTGTATTGAGGGGGATTAAACCTACGGTATGTGCTTGTTATTATATGTTAATCTTCACAAGAATTAGGATTTGTGAGATTGAGAACTGACTTATTGAATTTAGGATTTCTCTCATGTCCGCAAACTCGCATCTCCATTCCTCTCACGCAAAGCTGCACACGCTGCCGCACAAAATCTAGCAAACAACCCAGCACTCGCTCATAACCTCAAACCTGTCCGCCGTCCAGATCCCATCATACTTTTGTCTCCATCCGCGTCTTCTATTCTTCGCATGTCTAATATCAAATCGTTCCTCGAAGGTGGTGCATTCATTCCTCCCGATTCAGCAAGCTCTACCTCCAGTTCCTCGGCTTCAATTCTACATATCTCACGTTTCATACCTTCCATAGATCCTGCGCGACCAATCCGTTTCATTATCGTTGATACACCAGAGCAATTCAAGCCGGAGTATTGGTCAAGAGTCGTAGCGGTCTTTACTACTGGTCAAGTTTGGCAATTCAAGAACTATAAATGGCCACAGCCTACAGATTTATTCAGGAACACCCTAGGCTTGTTCGTAGGATTCAGAGGAGAAAGTCTACCGGATACTGTGAAGGGATGGGGAAGTGGAGTTCTGGCTTCGCAAGTCGAAAGGTGGGCTCCACAAGCAGGTCCAGCTAGTAGATGGAGGGATAAGGAAGTCGTGGAGAATATTTGGAAGGCAATTGAGGCGAATATGAAGGCTAAAGGATGGAGACGGGATTCTGGTCCAGTCATTTGAGATGGACTGACTGAAGCCATGGGACAGAAAGTTGTACTAACGAGCGGTTTAATGCGAATAAATAAAATCGGCGTTCAGGAGTTATTTCTAGTTAATTTGGGAAGAAGAGTATTATGAGAATCACTGAACCGTGATGATGGAGAAGTTGTGCTACATTTCACATACCTAGGTAGTCTATGAGAGGCGTAGAGGTTATGAGATTTGATCAATCGAAGGACAACCAAATGAACTTGAATCAGCAAGAAGCTGAATTCGACTTTGTACTATACAGAAATATTAGAGGTGAATATAAAGAACTCTTGAATCTAGAACTTGTATAAAGAAATTCCACTAGTAACTATGCAATTTAAATGTCTCGCTTCACTTCATACGTTTCATACATTTTTGGAAAATTTTCGAATTAGGGATTAGCTTTCTCGAATTTTAAAGTTCTCGGACAGAATGGTCCTTCCCTTCCATTCCCTAGATTCCTAACTCCGCGTCATAAGTTTTATACGAAAACAACTCAACATTCGACATATATTTTATTCTCAGATACAAGTAACTGTTCAGGAACATCGAATTATCGTTCATAATACTCCCGGGATACAATGTAATACTCCTTACTAAAGGAACACTCCACGATGATGGTGTTCTCGGGAATTCTCAAATCAACCAACCAAAACACTTCTCATCCCTCAGCCACAGTCACCCTGGATTCAACATCACAACAACCTGCAACTACTTCTGATGAAAGAAGCAAGAGTACCTCACCTAAAGTGTCAGCGACAGCGGCATCTTTGACTACGGATCCAGTGAGAAGCCCGTATATCCGAACGAAAGAAAACCTTCTACCCCTAGATGCCGAAATACCCGATCTCCGCGAGTTAAACCACAGCCTTGAAGCGCTTGCGGCTATCTTCCCCGATGTTCAAGTCGAGGTGTTCCGCGAGATGCTTTCGAGCTTCGAAGAAGAATCTAGATTGGCTGTCGTGACGGAAGCTTTGCTTAAACATAAGATGAAATATGTGCGGGGACGATATAGGGTCGCGTCGAAGGAGAAGGAAAAAGAAAAAGCTGATGGCAATGAAGATGAAACAAAGCTACAGGACTCAAAGGGGATTGTACCCGTGGAAGAGAAATTTAGGTCTGAAGGATATAAGAAGGCTGTAAAGACAGTTGCATATCATGAATTTAAGGGTCTGCCGCGGTCGACAATCAATGCAGTATTGGCGGAACGCAACCATTCTTATACTTTGGCTCGACCCACACTTGTCGATTTATCTTCGAAGTCTTGGCGATTTTCTATATCATCATTCTTCTCTCGTCGAAAACCCCTGACGGCAGTGGAAGCAGGGCACCACCCTCTTGTGGTCTGGCAGTCGTCTGGACAAGGGTCTATAATGCCAACTATCAAGACTACGGGATCACCGGAACTGGACAAAGAATTATTTGATTCTCTCATTACACCTTTACAGGAACGAGCATTATTGGAACGAGAGGAGAAAGATCATGCCCTAGCACTCGAGATAAATAACCACGAAGCGGAAGAGCAGGAAGCTTTGCATGATTGTGAATGTTGTTATACCGCATATGCATTTGAGGAACTCTCTGCTTGTGATATCGGAGGCCATTTTATATGTTTTCAATGTATCAGACATGCAGGTAACGAAGCCATTTTCGGACAAGGATGGCAGAGGAACATTGATCTCAATGGTGGAACCTTAAGGTGCCTCGCGGCCATGGCGGGTGAGTGCACAGGATGTATTCCACAGGAGCAGGTGCGACGAGCCTTCTTAGAAGATAAAGGTGAAGAGATTCTACGGAAACTAGACGAACGTCTAATCGAAGACAGTCTTTTGAAAACCGGACTACCACTTATTCGTTGCCCATTCTGCAATTATGCTGAGATTGATGAGTTATATCTCCCAGAAGCTCAACAATCGTGGCGCTTGAAACGACTTGGTCCATCTTCTATCTATACTATTTTAATTGTGGTTTTGGGCGTTGGCATGATACCCTTCCTTTTACCTTTTTGCATTCTTTTTTCTTTCCTATTTTTATGTCTTTCCTCAAAACGCACATTTGGCGACTATGCTATCGATCAATTCCAAGAATCTGTTATTCGTTTGCGTAGGAAGCAACATGGTCTTAAATTCGTCTGTCAAAATCAACGATGTGGAAGATCTTCCTGTATTTCATGTTCGAAAGCATGGAACGATATTCATATCTGTCACGAGTCTTCTTTGCTTGCTTTAAGAACGCAAGTCGAACTTGCGATGTCCTTAGCGATCAAGCGAACTTGCCCACGTTGCAATACGTCATTTGTGAAGTCTTCGGGCTGTAACAAATTAACATGTGTTTGCGGTTATCAAATGTGTTATGTTTGTCGCAAGGACATTGGATCTGGAGAGGGATATCGACATTTCTGTGAACACTTTCGACCAAATGGTGGGAGACGTTGTACTGAGTGCTCGAAATGCGATCTATATCGATGTGAGGATGATGAGGTTGTGGTTAAAAAGGCCAAAGAAAAAGCAGAGAGAGAATGGATGGACAAGGAAGGTGGAGGAATAGGTGGTGATGAGAAGGTTCGAAAAGTGCTAGAGCAGAAATGGAAAAGAGGGAGAGGTGTTACTTGGTGGGAGGGTGAGGGGTGGTGGCAATGGAATTTGCCGAATAGTGAACAAATACTTGATAGTTTGGTTGAAGGTGTTATTGAATGATTACTGGACATAGGAGGCTATGATTTTTTTGGGAACACGGGTATCGGTGGGTAATTCAATATTGGGATAGGCATGGGAATGGGGGAAATAGGATAAGGATATGTTGAAACGGAGCGAGGGGGAGTTTTGGGGGACTCCGATTAGCGAGTGATATTGATTCCTAAGATAATGAGTAGTGTAGTACAGAATGGATAAGATCATGATTGAAATCACAATTGAGTTCAAGTGGGATTTAAGTGGGGAAATTGAATTGTGAGAGAAATATTAAAAACTCTGAAAATGTAATTGGCTGACTATTGCTTGCTTGCTTGCTTTGCCTTTGAGCATGTGATATAGAGTTGAATTCCCCATGGGGATACAGTCTTGGCGATCAAGCTCTTCAAATGCATTCGCTTTGGGGATATCTATTCTAATATCAATAAGAGAAGGTAATATATACTGAAAGAGATTCCGGTGTTTAATTTGAAGTTTATTATGATATTTAATATAGAAGCTAAGACGAATCAACTCATTCCACGCCTCTGCTAACAAATACAGAATCAGCCTTATTGGAATAAGTCCGTGCATGCAAGGCTAGCCACCAAACATCATCTCAGCCTTCACCCAAAGAGAACCCACTCTCACTACCTAGGTACAAACATGTCTCCAAGTAGAGAAGCCACACCACCACCACAGGAAGGGTTCGCACTCCTCACCTCCACTCATCGCGACATTGTCGAAGCAAGTGCCTTCAATACCTACGGCACGCGCTTCGCAACCGGTTCCGCAGACGGCAAAATCAAAGTCTACAATCGCCATCACGACGGTTCGTGGATGCAATGCGATACATGGGGCGCGCATAACGGCGGTGAAGTTCTACAATTACAATGGTTGCCTCCTACTATCCATCCGAATCTCATCGCATCTATTGGTACCGATGGACGGTTTAAGCTGTGGGTTGAGGATCCTACGTTGGCGCCCAATAAGGGACGCAGATTTAACTCCCATAATAATCGGCCCGTGTGGGAAACACGATCGCATACTCGCGCGCCGTTTTTGAGTTTCTCGATTAAACGTCATGCGGAGAGTAGACATACCTATATTGCGTTGGTGGATCGTGATGCGCAATTGATTATCTATGAGAATGAAGAGCCGGAGAACATGACGGCGTGGACAGAACTCGATCGGGTGAATGTGTGTGAGAAGCCTGCGAGGGGAGAGGAGGTTAGTTTCAAGGTGGCCTTTGATCCGAATCTGGAGCCGTGTTATAGAGCTATTCGAGAGGGGGTCCCGAGAGATGCGCTGGGATTGGTCGTCGCAAGTATGAATAAAGCGAGTATTTGGCGCACGAAGGAAATATCGCATACGGTTAGTCTGGGGAGTGCGAGTACGAAGGAACTTTATTTGGCGGCAGAGTTGAGGGGGCACAGGGGCTTGGTCAGGGATGTGACGTGGGCGGCGGGGAACATTAGGGGCTGGGATGAGGTGGCTACGGCGTGTAAGGATGGGGTTGTGAGAGTTTTCCGGGTGGTGACTGGTAGGGAGGGTGAGGGGTTGGAGGGCAGAAGTAGTGATTTCGAGAAGGTACCGGAAAAAATAGTTGCGCGAAATTCGGCGCAAATGACAATTGAAAATGGAGCAAAACCCGCCCCTTCTGGTATTGGTGCAGGACTAGCAGGTCAAAAAACGAATCGAAGTCGACAGCAAGAAGCTCAAGGTAGAGATGGAGCGGTAATTCATGCCGTGAAGGAGATTTCTAGGTTAGAAGCAGATCGAGCGCCAGTTTGGAAGGTAGAATTTGACGCCGATGGGCAATTATTGGGGTCTACAGGGGATGATGGAAAATTGATGATGTGGAGAAGAGAACCGACTGGTCTTTGGAGTAGAAGCGCAGAATTGGCGATGAATAGAGCGTGATCATTATCGTGATCTCGGTCAAAAGGGAAATTGATGGAGAAATTTTTTTTTTATTCACGTGGAGTATCAATGGGGTATCAATGGAGTCTGGGGATTATTCAGAAAGATACCGTAGGCTTGGGGTGAGGAGTTCAGGGCGTTTTGATGAGTGGGTTGAGTCTAGGTGTTTGTGGTAGTGGAGATATAGAATACATATCAGGATGGCTTTAACATCTTTAAACAATCCATGGATATCAATTTCATGCACATTTCGACTATTTCAACTCACCTCTTATCTAACTCCTTAAATACCTCGCGTAGATCCTTTTACCCATTCTTAATCCGCAATAGATAAATCCCGTTGAAGCGGCATGCAGCTCAACCCCACTAGCTTCGTCATCTATTCCCCTCAGCCCTGTCCCCCCACAATTTATGCGATATGAACTCGTGTCTTCTCAGCCTTGCACAAGGCTCTCCAAATAAAAATAAAAACCACATCTCCCATCCATCTCCCATCGCATGTCCAATTCCTTTTTCCCCGCTCACATCTCCTCCAAACCATCCAATTAGAAATGCACCCCATCTCCCCCTCCCACTCATCATGAAAAGCACATCTCCCACGCGCACGCGCTCCTCGCTCTCCCTCCCCGAATCTCTCTTCCACCTCTCCCTCACCATCCTCTGTCTCTCCCTCCTCCTCAAAACCCTCTCGCGCGAAAATGGCGAACCCCTCATCGCATCGCTCGCCTTCAGCGGCCTCGCATTTTCCGCTACCTACAGCATGATTCGTTGGCTGGGCCCAACGTTCATGAAAGCAGGACTCAAGGGAAAAGATATGTCGAAGCGCGATAAGAAGGAGATTCCGGAAACGATGGGCGCGGTCTGCGCGGTGGTTTATTTGTTGATTATTATTGTGTTTATCCCGTTTCCGTTTTATAAGGATATTGTGGCGGCGACGAGTGGTGGTGGGAATAGGGATGTGGTTAGGGAAGGGGGTCTGAAGGATTTCGGCATGGATGTGGAGAATGGGAGGTTTTTGCATAGGTTTCCGCATAGTAAGGTGAGCATTATCGATTGCATGGTGGGAGGAGGTTTTTTGGTCCGAGAGATGGGAATCATTTGGCTTCTGTTTTAGATTGGGCGGGAAAATCAATGATCAAAGTACTAACTGAAAAATAGCTAGCATCCTATCTCTCCGCGGTCCTCTCCCTCCAATCTGTCGTCATCCTTGGAATCGGCGACGACCTCTTCGATATCCGCTGGCGCCACAAATTTTTCATTCCCGCCGTTGCCTCCATCCCCATCCTAATCGTCTACTTTGTCGATTTCGGCGTCACCCAAATCGTCATCCCCATCCCCCTACAACCCTATCTCGGCGAGCTCTTCCAACTCGGTCCTCTCTACTACATCTACATGGCGTCCATTGCCATTTTCTGCCCCAACAGCATTAACATCCTCGCCGGCATCAACGGCATTGAAGTTTCCCAATCCCTCATCATCGCCTTCCTCCTCGTCCTAAACGACACCCTGTATCTCCTAACCCCCTACCCCCACCCCGCAACCGACTCCCATCTCTTCTCCCTCTACATGCTCCTCCCCTTCATCGGCGTCTCCCTCGCCCTACTCTCCCACAACTGGTACCCCTCCTCCGTCTTCGTCGGCGACACCTACTGCTATTTCGCCGGCATGGTCTTCGCCATCTGCGGCATCCTCGGCCACTTCTCCAAAACCCTGCTCCTCCTGCTCATCCCCCAAACCTTCAACTTTCTCTACAGCGTCCCCCAACTCTTCCACCTCATCCCCTGTCCCCGCCACCGTCTCCCCTACTACAACCCGAAAACAAATCTCCTCGAACCCTCCACCACCCCATGGCCTAGCCCTCCAAAAAAACATCAACTCCTCCTCCTCTCTCTCCTGCATAAATTCTACCTCATCGATCTCAGATTCAATAGCGAAGGCGACATCATAGAAAGTAGTAATTTCACTCTCTTGAATCTATGGCTTGTGTGGTTTGGCCCGCGCAGAGAAGATCGATTGGCCATGGAGATCTTGGGTATGCAGATGGTGTGTGGATTGATCGGGTTGTTTGTTCGACATCGCTTGGCCTTGTTAATCTTCAAGAGTGATAATTTGAGTGTGTAGATTTTGGGGAGATGTGTTGGTTTATGGGAAAGGAAGAGAAAGAGTTGAAAAGATAAGAGAAAAGGGAAATTGGGTATATATTGAACTCCAAGATTCTGAGCGTATGTATGTATGTATGTATGTATAGATGTACTCATATGGATATAGATAGACATTTACAATTTTTACAACATTACAAGACAACACCACTTGCCTATCCACGTCATCAAATAATACATTCATCATTTCAAAAGCCTCAAAGCCTCCAGCCTCCGGCCTCCAAGAAGAGAGATGTTGAAAGTTTTAATTTTTTTTCAATTAAAAAAATACGAGTGATTTAATCACTTCACTGCGTCGAGGTCTGTTTCCTCGCACGATCCGAGCACCACAAAGCTCATCAATGTTTATCCATCAATCTTCACCATTTCGAAACCCCATGTCATGCATGTCATCCCATTCCTCCATCTTATCCCAGACATCCCCTATCATGAATATATCCATTTCAAAAGGATCGTGTCATAAGACCATCTCAAGAACGAGTAGCATCCATACATAGCATTCGTCCCACTCACACCCAACCCTATCCACCCGCCCATCCATCCAAAAGCAAGCCATAAAAAAAGACAAGACAGGAGTGATTGCAACTCGCTTCTCAGAATTCTTTTCCACAAATCCGATCAGCCCATCCACACAAAATCATCGTCAATCATCATCAACAAAGAAGCTACTCGTACAACAAAGTTTAGGTATGGTAGGGAAGGTATTTTGTTTTGCCATTGCCTGATGCAAAAAGAGAAAAAAAAAAGAGTCCATTTTCCCGAACGAACAAAAGTAGTGATCAACTGTGATCAAGATGTAGAACAAAAAGAAAGAATTGAATAATCGAAGTAATTAAAACTTCTAAGACTCCACCCCAATGTATTACGCCAGCTACGCCCCTGAACCTTATAATAAGATCATAATCCGGACCCCATTTTGAACCCAAACCAAATGATACCGTCCACCGGTCCCAAACTTCCATCAGCTGAAGCCTCACGCCGAAGTAAAAGGACAGATGAGGCAATAAGACGCCTAAAGCGATATCTAAAACTGTATGTTACAATGCGCCATTCGAGTGTTGAGGGGGCATATTTTTGGGGGATGGTGAAATCTTGAGCGTATCAACAAGACCATGGTCGACTTTCTTGTTCCCGTCAACTGCAACAGTTTTGCTGTCAAGAAGAGCCCCTATGGAATTAATTTCGTCAACAGTCGAAAGTGTTGACTTGGGAACTGCTGGTGATATTGTAGGACTGCTTCCTACAGAAGCCTTGCGCCCACCTGAACCATTGGCGCTCTGGTTCTTATGTCGAGCGGTATAATCTTTGATTGACATTTTTTTCCTAGCAGGACTCGGATTGACAGGATTTACAGAAGGGTATGATGGGAATTGAGTTGTGCCATATGGCGAGATCGCTGACGAGGGTACTGCGGAAGCTGGTGTGAGTGTGCCTGGAGTTCCGGACAGGTTAGGTGTTGTAAATGTTTGTGTTGGAGGCATTCGTACGTGCAGTTCAGGTGATTTGTGTGAATATCCATTGGTGGATTGTCCAGTCCAAGAAGGAGGTTTCATGGTCTGCCCGGTAATGAGTATTGGACCATCTGTATGGTAATCGCCAGAATTGGACGTGAAGTCGGCCGACGGAGTCGATGAAGAAATACTAGCATTTCGGACCCTAGTATCAGTGGGTGACTGAGTAGTTGATCGATCTTCCTGGATTGGTGAGTCAATATCCATTGCCATTGTAGGCGAAGAGAGATTTTGGAGACCTCCGTTCATCAGTCCTGCAGCAACATTTGTCCGCTGCCGCTCCTCATTCTTAAATAACTCCTGAGCCTTTTCCTGTACTTTGAATCTTTTCATAAGCAAACGCCTCGAAAGTGGTAAGACAGGCCTCTTTGGTATCAACTTTGTTTTCTGCTCGTACCACGCATCTTTGTCCGGGCTCGTTTGTGTTGATGAATCTGCATATACGACGTTCGGGGTTATTGAATTTTGGCGTGATCGGAAGCCCTCTGATTCATCTGATCGAGAGCCACTCGAATCATCGCGAGATCGAATGGGTTTCGGAGAGGCTACAACTCTTGAAGATGTCGCGCTGAGAGGTGACCCCGATTGTCGGCGCGATGTGCTGGCGTCGACATACTGACGAGATCGGGATCCATTAGATTTTGCGTGAGCCGACTGTGAAACGGCAGTGCGTGATGCGACTGATTTCTGTCGGGGTTTAGGGTTTGTCTGTGATGCCGTAGCAGTCACCGGGGAATTTACATTCGAACCATCCGATGGTCTCTTTTTCTTCCGTGGCGGTTCCTGTTCCTGTTCCAATTGCTTGAATTTTTCTTCCAACAATAACAACTTTCTCTTCTCTCGTTTCGTCTCTGTCAAAACTGCATCGGCTTCAGGGCCATGTATTGGTGTGGGATCACGACTGTGAGGTTTGCTACGCCCGGAGCCAGAAATGGAACGGCTATCGTCGTCGCCATTTGTCTCTGGCTGACCTTCGCTAGCGGCTCGACTATTGGTGGCGTGGCCTGTACTTGTGGGAGAGACGTGATGCTTGGGCTTGCGACCCTTCTTTGATTTCACCCCATTTACACCATTGGATGGCTGTTGATGCTGACCATGCACTCTGCCGTAGTAATCGCGGTGAAATCGTACAAAGGCGCACTCTTTGCCGGCATTGCAAGCACAACCTCCGTGATCCGATAACACCAGATTGATCGAATGCGACACACTTTGGTATTCGGCTTCGGTGATATCAGGTAGCCTATCGTCGTCATCGCCATCAAGATGGAGGGCACGGTCTAGTCTTGACTTGTCAACGAATTTGAAGTCCCACGGTAATGTAATCTGCTCGTTTGGAGCCAGGGCGCTGTCGAGGGTCAAGTAGAAATGATACTCGCTTGTATTGGCAACAATATATGTTTCCAAGTTTGCGTTCGCCCGACAGCTTCGTCGAATGTATCGGCACTGGGATCCTCCTTTTCTTGTATCAATATACAAGGGTAATCCGGGAATGAAAAAGGTAAGAGGGCGTGGATGAGGACACTCTTCCCACCCATTGTCTGGGTTCTTATGATAGTCCGATTGAAAACCGACATGGCCATTCATCTCTCCAATTGGTTTGTTCGCCGGGGTTTTCGTGGTCGTGACGAGAGATTTCCATTGGACATTCGTATTGTTGATGTGAGCAGTCTTGACATCAACGTGCAACTTTGGGAATTGGTGCGGATCAAGTCGCATCTCGGTTTTTTGAACAACATCGTCGAATTTTTTGCCGACATCTTCTTCGAACAGCTTACCTTCTTTGATCCACAGAGCTAATTTGCTCGTGACAGATAGATCGACCAATGTATTTGTATTAATCTCTTGTGATTGAACATCATAGAGCGAGTGGAAAATGACGGAGAGGGAATGAATTTCGAAATTATCTGGCAGGATTCCTGCTGTGTGGTTAGGGCTTGGAGGATGGTTATGATTTCGTTTGGTAGCTTGAGAGCTAACGGAATGATGCGACCGGTGGCCTTTCGCTCTTTTTTGTGTATGAGCGACGAGAGAGCCGGCATTCTCGTGGCCCTCTTGGTCATTGAAACCATGATTTTCAGAGGACTTGACGGTCTTCTTTTTGTGGCTTTTTGATGCCGGCCTTCTATTTTTTTTGTCATTGTTATCATGGGTAGGTTTACTCTGTCGATATTGCGATCTTTCGTTCGCATGTGGACCGAGATCTCGTGGTGAGCAATCAACACAAGAATGAGCGAAGTCTGGCCTCAACACATCTACAGAGCGGTCGTAATAGCAATCGATATGCTGCCACGTTGAGCAATCTTCGCAATATATCGTGTTTCCATCGTCTTCACAATTGTTGCAGATGCATTTGATGGTGTAATCTTCGTCCGCCAACTCGGTAGCGGGTTGAATATCGTGGGTAAGGGCCTCAACAGAAGTGAGGAAGACAGGCTTAGTCTGGGTCGCATTCTGCGTCGAGATTGATAGGGACCTTTCTGTCATAATCTAGGAGCCTTTGGGTGGCTATTCGAGTGAGAGGATCAAGGTGCGTTCACTGATTCCAAGACCTGAGTCGCATGACGAAGACGACCACGACTCGAAGCAATTAATTATCGCAGAGCGAAAACGACACTCAATTTTGATGATCTCTTTCATCCGCTATTGAATTAAACATGTGAGTCTTCTTCTTGGCTTCCTTCCACGTATGCCAACAATGTAAGAATCGATCAAGAGGAAGAAGGGTGAGTCGAGAGGGCAGGATAGATCGACAATGGTAGTGCGGTTGGAAAGGGTGTGGCCTGTTAGAAGATAGTATCTGCGAGTCTCGTGGATTGAAATGTATGTTCTGCAATTGAAACCGTGTTCCCAAATGAAAGGGTTTTCAAGTCCCAGAGTGGAGGCGATGGGGACGAAGAGACAGGGCCTTTTGGAAAAGATGATCTCGAAAGGACAAAGACGATTCAACCGAGTTTGCGCTTTGGAATGTTTACGCGTTGTGGTAAGATAATCGAATGGAGGAAAGGGAAGGATAATAGATTTGTTGAGGTATCCTATTTGTAATGACGAGAATACATGAATTCGAGAAGAGGTTGTGAGGGTAGAAGGGAGAGTGAGCCTGTATCTGTGGTAGAAAATGGTAAGTGAGAGGGGAGAATTTGGTTGGGTGAGTGGCCCATTGCGAAGAGCGAACTCAGAAAGTTAGGAAGGAACCAAAAAAGCAGCTAATCCTGAGAGTATCTAAAATGCCTTGCCGCTTCAAGATTAGTAGTGAGAACGCGAGGAACGCTAGTGTCGAAGTAGATCCGGGAGGAGGAATTCCCAAAATGAATCCAATGCTGCTTTTGGTTAGTGTAGATATGAAAGAAGGGACGGTACTTGGAGGGGGAGAGAGAGAGAGATTATGTTGTATGTGTGTGTATATATGTGTATGTGTGAGAGTGAGTTGAATGAGTTGAGTGGAAGAGAGAGAGAGAGAGAAAGGGCATAGGAAAAAAAACAGGCAAAAAATGAAAATAAAAATAAAAAATTAGAAAATTAGAAAATTAAGAAAATAAAAAACAGTTAATAAGTCAAATGGTTGGTGAAATAGCAAAGGAACCCTTTGAGAGATTGATTGGTATAGTATAGTATGGTATGGTATTGTGTTGTGTTGTGTTGTGTTGTATTGTATTGTATTGTATTGAATTGAATTGAATTGAATTGATTGTATTGCTTGTATTACACCTAAGTAAATTGTAAACATCTTCATCTTGATGACCTAGTACTTTTCTTGATTTTCCCTTTCTCCCAATGTTTGCTTGTTATATTTGGAGGGAGAGGAGGGGATGAGATAAGAAGGAACAAATGGGAAATGAGGGAGGAAGAGTCAAGTGAAGTGAGAGAGAGGTAGGTAATCATTATCATAATCATAATAAGGTTGTGCGTGATAAAAGCTGAGTATTGAAACGAGTGAAGTGGACAGGGGGGTGAGAGGGGGAGGGGAGGGGAGGGGAGGGATAATAGGTAATAAATAAAATATAAAAAATATAAAAAATATATTCATGAACCAACCATAAATAGTCAAACAGATAAATCAATCAATCAATCAATCAATCAATAAATCAATACATAATAAATGAATTGGAGTAAAATTGTTCACATAATGAGATGTGAACTATTAAAGATTCGGGAAAAGAATGGAAATATAAGAATTGCGGCTGTGCGCACACGTAGAATTATTAGTGATTTGATTAGGATACCAAAGATGGAATATAGTTTTGAATTTGGGTTTGGGTTTGGCTTGGGCTTTGGTGAGATGTCGATATAGAGGTAGATATGAAGATTCCGAGGTACGAGTAGGTTGACGAAAGTACCTGAGGTGAAAGGTGGGAGGATATGGATATGTACAGAGCAGAGTACAATCAATGGAAGATTTATTAGGTACCTACGCGTGGTGGGAAAAGATCGAAAATTTGAATTGAGAGAAATAAAAAGAAATAAAAGCGAGGCGCCCGTGTAGGAAGATGATGATGGATGGATGATTGATCTCTTTAAAGTGGCAAGTTATTTCTGATTGGCTGTAACTTATAACTTATTGGGATGGATTATGGTATGGATAATGAGAGTTGCAGTTGCTTCAGCTAGACTCGAAGAGGATTGTACGTATCTGCGTATCTAGTACATTGTAGGGAAAGTCGTCTTGTGTAAATCGCTTTGGAAAAGAGTCTGTCATGTCCGGGTGTTCTCATTGTCTACTCTGTACGGAGGATGTGGAATTTGGCGCTTCACTTTGAACAAGAAACCGACCATCCGTTCGCTCAGATATGACAAATTAATAATAATGACCTTGAATCACATCAGGATACTGGTACAGGGCCTATATAGTATATTCAGCTCAGAGAAAGAAAGGATTGTCGATGAGATTGAGCTTGTGCTTGTATACAACCACTTACTACCATTTACTACCACTCATTACTCCTACTTCCTACCACTTCCTACCAACCAGTCAACGTGCCATACGGGGAAATCTCTCAAGCTGCACAATGCGTGCTATGTGCATAATGCAGTGAGCCCGCCCAAGTGAAGTGAGTCAATTTCCCATGTATCATTCTGGTCCTATCCTATGAGAATCTTCTGTCCGATGGACAATACAGTATCCTGTAATAAAGACAAGGGGTCCAAGTTTCAAGTGTCCTTTCATGGATTTGGATAAGATGCAATACAAGGCTATTCCCAGGTTTCCCAGGTCGTGCAATATAAATCGAGCACAGTGCATTGCCTAGGGAGTTCTGGTGACAAAACCAGCGTATCATAGAGGAGAAAATAATGATAGACTCGAACTTCCCCCCTTTTGATAAGAGCGATAAAGGTAAAGCGAGAAAAGTGGTTGGGGAAAGCGTCTCGTAAAAAGTAACAATCAAAACAAGTGCGCGCAGGTGGCTACTGCATTCTTTTTATATGCTTTGCTCGTCAAAAAAGAATGGAGATGGCAGCCATACACAATCTTGCTTTCTAAGGTTGCCTTCACAATCCTTCTAGTTGAGTTTAGCACGGTGATGCTACGTGCTAACGTCTCCGAGAATACATGACCTCCAAAGTTCGCAAGTCAATTGGTACTTGGAATTGACTGGACCTAACTTTAAACTGGCCGGACTCTTCCAATGACCTAAACATCGAATGAAAGCACGATGGTCACGTGACATGTCTCAAATATCACCATTGTAGATGCGTGAAGTTTTCTCAGCGAAGAGGATTTGCAAAATTGGGAATACCTGCATATTCGTACAACTCGATCTTAATTACGAAAATGCTTGTTTATTCACATCAAGTCCCTCCCAATTCTTTCAATGAATGCCAACAAATCGGTCCCCACTAAAAGGGGTTTGGGGAAAATGCAGGGGTCAATATACCATATCCGAGATGTCAACAATCCAATTGCTTTCTCGTGTTTTTATCAAGAGTCTCACATACGGAGGATCGCATGAGTTTACCTATCAACTAACGACAAGATGTCCAGCTACTTTTCTCGGATGACCTCATATCATCCATATCAACCTCTCGATATCAATCTTTCTGGAAAGTATGTGGAAAATAGTTTCAGTCCAACCATCCTCATTACCACCTTTGGAACAACGTGGGCTTTGGTGCTCGGCGCAACACTTTTTGCGGTGAGGAAATTTTATCCTAGACTCAGTATAAAGGATCAAGGACTTGTTCTATGGTTTATCTTGAGTAAGCTCAACTTGCGATTCTCTTTCTCTGCAATGCAACCTAACATTTAAATAGCGGGGTCAATTCATATATTCTTTGAAGGATACTTCGTCTACAATCATGCACGAATGGCAAGCAGGACAGATTTCTTTGGTCAACTATGGAAGGAATATGCTTTATCCGATTCGAGATATATGTCCTCAGATTCATTCCTCTTGACCATAGAGACATGGACCGTCGTGCGTATGCCATTATCCGAATGCTGAATGTGTAGTACGCTAACGATATTGGCAGATACTCTGGGGACCGCTATCTTACCTCACAGCCATATACATCACCCAAAATTCACAATTTCGACACACCGTACAAGCACTTGTTTCAACGGGGGAACTGTATGGAAATTTGCTGTACCTTGGCACTAGTCTACTTGATGAGTACACCACTGGCAAACGATACTATCGACCGGAACCATTATACTTTTGGGTATACTTTGTATTAATGAACTCGATATGGTTGTTTGTTCCTGGCTGTAAGTACTGATCGCGATACCGACTCCATCATCGCTAACAATTCATGTTCAGTTGCCCTCTACGACAGTGTTATGGCCTCCGCAAGATCCTTCGAGTATTCAGATCCACCCTATGCAGCAAAACGCACCAGAAAAGCCAAAGATGATGGAGGTAAAAAAGAAAAGGAATATCGCAAAGTTCCTGCCTCTCAAGAATCCGATACACGGTCGAGAAGGGGAAAGGCTAAATCATACAACGACGATTATTCGGGCTAGATTCGATTGATAATAAATATCGGCGGCTGATATGCTGAAACGATGTTCCGCTACCTAGTCGATAACATCTGCCTCGCCACAATCGTTGAATATGATCTATCATACATCACACAGTCGTAGATCAAAAGGTTTCGGGGTTTGGGGAGGGTGGGAATATTTGGACTGGATTTCAGCAAACGCCGTTATGAACTTATGATACCCTTTATGATTAATGAGTATATATCTTGAGATGGGATTTGGAATTGGCCAATTTAAGCTACATTCAAATGTCAACTACGTATACTTGGTTCAGGGACTTTGTTTAAGAAATGTTACATTTTCGGTGGCATTCTACTTTGGATATCGACTTTATATTTAGAACAAAGTACTAGGTCAATAGGTATATGTGTTTGAGCCACTAAGAGTGTTTCGGATGACAGCAAGTCTTCTAAGTGCCGTCAAAAATTGTTCTAGAAATTCCAGAGATTACTAGGTACGTTGTACCGTCTTGGAGTACCATCAATGTCTTCAATTTCAATTTCAATTTCTATCTCCAATTTCCTATGGGCCGAACTACCGATACGCTTCTCGTAGATTTACCTAGTAATCAAAGCTAAATTAAGCTTACTTGTTTTCCGACCAGAGATGAGATATGATTGGTTGGCACTTTCATACTTTATGAAACGGGAATTATGTTTCCGGATGTGAAATGATATGTTGGTTGCATTTGAGCGTTTTTCCAAGGTGTAAGTGAAGTGAAGTGATGGCATTGTGAAGGGAATAATTTTCAGCTGATGCAGGTACCATCTGATTGATATATGAATGGAAAGACTCTTACGTAACCACCCCCCTCTCTCTCTGAGTCTCTGTTCCAGAAGGATTTGGGGAATGCAGAAATAAGATTAGGTGAGGGATTGGAATGTCTTGAGCTAGGTAGGATGCTGGTCACCCTGGGGAAAAGGGATCCCGAGGTTCATGAAAGAATATCTTTCGGATATGGATACCTCGATAGAGGTAGAGTATCCATGCCAATGATTTTTAGATGATAGGTAGAGGGGTTCTTTAATGAGGTTATTTCATGTGAGCGTGGGTCGGAGAGATAGACAGATACTAGATAGATGCTACTGCGCATGTGTACCTAGGTACGCAGAAAGTTTAATCTTGTTGTTCGGAAGGACTTCTCGACGGGGAAATTGACATAGAACAGATGAGTACGAGAGAATGCTGTTCAATGTTGAGGGGGGTTGAGGATTGAGGGTTGAGTTGAAACTTGATATCAGAACAATCTACCAACTACCAAAGATTTCATGATTCAAGCCCTCCCAAAATATCCCAAGCGATCAGATGGGATGGATCCCATACCGGTAGATGAGATTGTGTCTATGTATAGCCAGGTACCTGGGTAGGTAGGTATATATATATAAATATCTCTCTTGTAAGGGTGTCGATTCAGTCAAGTGGGAGACGGGGAGACTGGAAGTATCGTACCTGAATCGCGAAAGCCTTGATAATAAGGTATTCGGTCATTCATTCATTACTACCATCCATACTTACTATTACTATGAGTTTGATTGATCCCGTCGGGTTGAGCAAGACATCCAAAACATTTCAAGGTTGAATGAAACCTTTGGAGAGGAGCAACTTCATCAATTGCCCAACCGCTCATTCAAATTCGGATTCAATTGTGAAATTGGCTACTGATTCACAATTTCATAACTTCTTCACACCAGATTCATCATATTCTCTCATCTCTCATCCCCAATCTCCAATCCTCTCCGAATCTTCACATTGTCTTTCCCTCCCTCCCCCTCTCCCCCAAAACAAGCAATCACCAAATCATTCCAAAATTAATATATCTTCACCATTCATTTTATTGGCACTCCAAAAGAAAACTACAGTACGATCTATCCGCTCATTAATGTAAAATCGGTTCCTTCCTACCGCTTGAATAACTACTTTACTTTACTTTACTTTATTTTACTTCACTCTACCCTACTTCATTGCCTACTCGTACCTACTACCTAGTACCTAGCACATATATTGTAGTACCTCTCTCATCAAGTTGTACCACAATCCTATCCTACACCATTCTACTACGTAACTTATTTCTCAGAAACACAACAGCCTTCACAACCTCCTCGTCCGCCTCCGCCTCCGCCTCTTCCTCCTCCTTCTACTTCGAAAAAGTTACACCCATTCAGTCGCTCGATTTTACCTTCATCACAATATCCTATTACGAAGACCAATTGATATTCTATTTTTGAATCGGCTCCCTCTCCCATCTACACCGCCGACATTTCCTCCAAAAAGTCATCCCACCTACCTACCGACCGACCTACATACCCAGTATTTACTACTTGCCCAGGTGTCCTTCGATATCTTTCTGAACGCGAAACAAACAACTCAGTCCTTATCGAAACTCACGAGCAGGACTCATTCAATACACATACTTGGTTATCTAGACTTACTCTTATTCAGATATAAGATAAATCACAATTTGGAATATTCGGGGATCAAAAAGGGGGAAAAAAGCAAAAGGTCGCGAGATTAACATTTTTTTTTTGGCTTCTTCTTAATTCAATCGATGGTTATTGTTTCATGTTCTGCAGGCTTAATGTTCCTTGAACTTTGAGTCGCCAACACATGCGGAGGTCAATTGAGTGGAACCCTTGCGACCCGACAACGTCAGAATTTCAAGCAACTCTCCATAGAGAAGATACGAACCATACGAGATTCAATCAATCTGCAAGGCCGAAGACGAATTATCTATCATCAACGATTTCCATTTCAATTATTCGCCCTGGCCAACGCGATTCGAAGTACTCGGTTTAAGCATTTACTTCCAAATTACAATATAATAGGGGGCTCCAACAAGGTCTGGAGATAGTTGTGGGTAATAAACGTTGATCATCAAATAATGGGTCCTCAATCAGAGGCAGGCCCCTATGCCGAAGGTGAAAATTATGATCCTTCACATTCCGATGATGGGGGAAGACTTACAACTGAGAGGGATATCACAATGCAAGATCAACATCTACCGAGGCCTAATGGCCCAGATAGGAGGATGAATGCATCACCGGCAAACAGCGTGAGTGGTAGAGAAGGTCCCATGAGAGAGGGGAGTCGCAGACCAAGCAATGAGCGCACACGATCACGAACGCGAACTGGGAGGACTGGCAGCGGATCTTTGAGATTGTGTAAAAAGTGCGGTGAACCTTTGACAGGTCAATTTGTACGTGCGCTTGGAGGTACATTCCATCTGGATTGTTTTAGATGTCGAGTAAGTCAATCCCATTTCGCCATCATCTAACGGCATTCAGCTTCTGACTTACATCTTGTAGGATTGCGGTCAAATAGTCGCATCAAAGTTCTTTCCGGTAGACGAAGAAAATGGCGAAGGACAATACCCCCTCTGCGAGACTGATTACTTCCGACGCTTAGATTTGATATGCCACCAATGTAATGGTGCACTACGAGGATCATATATCACCGCCCTCGAGCGCAAATACCACATCGACCATTTCACTTGTTCAGTATGTCCAACAGTGTTCGGCGCACAAGATAGTTATTACGAGCACGATGGACAAGTTTACTGTCACTACCATTATTCGACACGATTCGCGCAACGATGTAATGGATGCCAAACAGCAATCTTGAAACAATTCGTCGAGATATTTCGAAATGGTCAAAATCAACATTGGCATCCTGAATGTTATATGATCCATAAATTTTGGAATGTTAGGTTGGCATCTCCGCAGGATGTACAAGAAATTCAACAGGAATCTGAAGATACGACGAACGAGGAAGATCGAAATAATGTGCGATTAGAAGAGGAGAGAATGGAAGAAAAGGTCTACAAAATCTGGAGTGTGCTGTCGACATTCGAAGAGTCCTCTGCGGCTTGCATATCCGATATGCTTCTACATGTTAGTAACGGTGCATATATGGATGGGGTGATGGTGGCAAAGAAGTTCATATGGCACGTTGATATCCTTTTTTGTTCTGCAGATAAATTGGATGGCATAATGATGAGAGATGGCTCAAAGGGTTAGTATTTCAAAAATCTACGTCCTCACTGCTTTTACTGATCTTTTTAGGGCTATCATATTCGCGCGAAGCAAAATTGTTATGCAAGAAAATCGTAGCATTCTTCTCACTCCTGTCCAAAACTCAGGAGACAGGAGTTCGAAAACTTGGCGTCACACAAGAACTTCTTGCCTTGGTCACTGGTTTGGCCCACTACCTGAAATTATTGATTCGCATCTGTCTTCAAGGCGCATTAAAGGTCGAACGAGATCAAAAGGATCCAGAAGGCCTTCACCAATTCCTTGATGACTTGGGTGATATGGATGCAATCAAGAATGATGATCGATCGTTGGAAGCTACCACAGGAACACCTGGACTTTCGGCTCCAAATTCGGATTCATGCATCAAATGTCAAAAGCCAATCGAGGATGAATGTGCTCGCTTCGAAGAAAGGAGATGTCATTTAACATGCCTGCAATGCTCTAATTGTGAGCGAGATCTGGCTCAGAACCTCGAGGACATCAGGTTTGATGATGTGGAACAACGGGTATACTGTTGTAATTGTCAAAGTCAGTCTTCGGACGTGGTATCGGGATTCGTGCGAGTGACGAGGTTGCAACAATATGTCTTCCTTCTGCGAGTTGCTTTAGCTCGATTGCTGGAAATATTACGCACCAAAGGTACTCTGCCACATACTTCGGATGACCCTAACCTCAATGGCTACAATTCGAGTGAGGGCCACAAAGTACCCTCGGATGACGACCCTCCTATGTTGAGGACTGAAGCTCGTTCGAAATCATTTGGTGGTCCAGTTGATGAAAGCCCACGTGAATCATCCTACGAAAATACATTAAATGACGTAAGACGACTACGAAGTACTCGAATGGACAAACATCTGTCTTCTACCATCAAAAAAGCGAGAACCTCGCGGATAATGGATGGTGTCGACAGTAAGAGGCCAGGCTCTGCAGGAGCTGATGGATCGGGTTCGAGGAATAACGAGTTTCAAGTAGTGGAAGACCGCGATGGTAATGGCGAATCGAGAACTGAATTAATGTTCGGTCATCAAGATGCTCTTACCCTGGACGATATTCCTAGAATTGTGGCTGCTGAACAAGCAAAGGAACAAAGACCGAATGCATATAAGCATGCCCGTCATGAGCTTTTCCGAACATCTATTACTGAACCTAAACTCATCAACGGTCACCAAAGGACTTTTTCTGCCGGTAATGACCTTGATGCACAAACACAACGTCAACAACAGAGAGTTGCTGGAAAGAAATATTTCTCGGAATTATCCGCTTTGGAATACTTCATCGTACGTCATGTTGCAGTTATCGCTATGCAACCCATGCTGGATGGTCACTTTACTATGGAAGAACTACTTAACCTGATCGAGACTAGAAAACCCACTTTCTGGGGTAAGATGGGTAAAGCTTTCAAAAATGATGGCAAGAAGACAGCCGTCAAGAAGAAGGGTGTCTTCGGGATACCACTTGATGTTATTGTCGAAAAGGATGGTGCCGAGTCGACAGATGGTGTTGGTCCTGGAGCTCTCAAGATTCCTGCTCTCGTCGATGATGCAATTGCTGCGATGAGAAAGATGGATCTTTCAGTTGAGGGTGTCTTCAGAAAGAATGGTAACATCAGAAAACTTAACGAAACTGTCAAGGAAATCGATAGCGGAGGGTGCGATGCTGTAGATTTGAGTCGACAAAATGTCGTACAAGTCGCTGCTCTACTTAAGAAATACCTTCGAGATTTACCAGATCCTTTATTGACCTTCAAGCTTCACAATTTATTTATCGCATCGCAAAAGATTGCCGATGAAGACAAGAGGCGTCGAGTATTACATCTAACATGTTGTTTGCTTCCAAAGGTACACAGGGACTGCTTGGAGATTCTCTGTTCCTTCTTCAACTGGGTCGCATCTTTCCATCAAGTTGATGAAGAATCCGGATCAAAGATGGACACTCATAATCTTGCCACTGTCATCGCACCGAATATCATATACACGAACGCTAAATCTCCTGTCGATGATAATTTCCTTGCAATCGAGGTCGTTCACACACTCATTGAGTGTAACGAGCAAATGTGTGAAGTAAGTTTTCCCTCTTTATCTTTATTTATTCTATGACTAACAATATAAAAAGGTACCAGAAGATCTTCAATCAATACTGAATGATCCCGTCCTCTTCAATAACACATCCGATATCACAACCAAAGAAATTCTTAAACGCTATGGCGATATCAGTGCTTCCGGTGGTGTCAGACACACAGTTGAAACGACTGAAGCGACTGGCCATAGAGACGGGAATGGAAGACCATTAGCTCCAGTGGTCACGAGAGTTGATGTTGATCCGGCGAATACTGCTTGGCAGAAGGAAAGTTCTGTGAGACATGTGCAAGATGCGCAAGTTGGCGGGCAAGGGAATCAGAATATGAACCCGAACCGAGAGTGGCAGGGTGGTGAAGGGGCAGAGTTACAACATCCACCACAGATTTATCGAGAGGAAAGGACTAGGACGCCGGATTTGGGGAATGGTAATGGGCATGGACATGGACATGGCGGGGAGAGGAGTGGGGATAGGGAAAGGGGGGATAGGAGGGAATATAGAAATTCTAGTAGTGGGTGGGGACCAGGGAGACCACCGCAGAATGGTGGGGTAGGAGTTACGGGAGCGGGATGAGTAAAGAGAAAGAGACGAATAAGATAGGAGACGAAGAGAGATAAAGTTAAATGGGAAGAAAAGAGCATATGTGGAGGATCAATCATCTTATTGGGATAACAAATAACATATCTTGATTAGAGATAAAGTTTCGTGCTTTTGATGGATGGGGCTTTGGGAAAAAGTAAAGGGAGAAAACAGGGAGGTGAATTAGTGGATCAAGTGGATAGTAGGGATGAAAGAAGGGTGAGTGTAGATGACATACATCCACCACTTCTTTGATTACCTAGATAATAATGAATGAGATATTGATGTTATATTTATATCTACTTTATGTGTGTGTGGTTATAATACAGTTTATATATATGCTAGTTCTTAAATCTCAAATTTTAGATTTTCGGATTGGATTTGGATTTGGAATTGGATTTGTAAATTTCACATTGCAGGTGATACTTGTCTTTACTTTTTGGGTGGAAATGGATGGAGTGAGAAGAGAATAAAGGGAAGGAGAGTGTGATAGACGAGTGAGTGCGTGAATAAGTGAGTTATTGAGTAGTTATTGATTGATTAATTGATATATCCATTTCTATTCTTATTCTTACTATTCTTTATATTAATGTAAGATTACGCTGTAGAACACAATGTAATGGAATATATAATCCTCTTCGTTTGCTATTCTTCATTCTGTGTTTCTTCATTCTGCATTTCTTCATTCTGTATTTCTTCATTCTGTATTTCTTCGTCCCCCTTGTTCATTCACTTCCTGATACGCAATATATCTCTTTATTCCGTATCCTTGGCTGGGGAAGTATATCGCTCTGCTCAGTTTTCAGAGGCGGTTCCGTTCGGGCTTTGCTGTCTCTGCTTTCCCTTTCCCTTGCCTTTCTGCTTCTCCTTCTCTTCTTCCTTCTCCTTCTCTTCTTCCTTCTCCTTCTCTTCTTCCTTCTCCCTTTCCTTCTCCTTCTCCATTTCCCTCTCCCTCTCCCCCGCACGAACACTATCCAAAACACTCTGCAACGACTGGCCCGGCGGAAAAACCATCATTTGCGTGACGATCAATTTAGGTTTTTTCTCCCCTCCTCCTCCTTCTTCTTCTCCTTCATCTTCTCCTTCTTCTTCTCCTTCTTCTTCTCCTTCTTCTTCTCCTTCTTCTTCTCCTTCTTCTTCTCCTTCTTCTTCTCCCGTAACTATCACCATTGTAGATTCTCCAGATGCATCTTCTTCCGCGGGTTCGGCTTTGCGTAACTTTATCCAGGGTCTGGATGCCACCGGTCGGGTCATCGAGGGCGCGTTGGATGGACCTGCGAGGATGGGGATTGCTTCTTCTGTTGGGGATGCTTCGTCTGTTGGGGGTACTTCTTCTTGCGGGGGTACTTCTTCTTGCGGGGGTGCGCCGATGCGGGACTCTGTATTTCGATTTCTTGCTCTCGTACGAAGGATTTGGTGGTACAGATATGTCGAGAAGAGTATTGATGAATTACTTGTAAAACTTGATTCCTGTGGATATGGGCGTCTCGAGATCGGTCGCAAGCTTAGCGCGCGGTCCCGAATGCGTTGTACGAATGAGAGAGCGCGGGGAAGACGGGCGCGGGGCGGGGCGGGAGGGGTGTCAGTTTGTGGTTTCTTTCCATTCCATTTTCTCATGCGACGGGTTGTGCGACTTAGTTTTTCCAAATAGGATATTGGTCGAAGAATTATTTTTTTACCGGGTAAGTCTTGATCGTTCGATTGGAATCTTGGCGTGCCGTGCTCGATGTGTTCTGCGGATGGAGAAGAGGGAGGATGGGAGGCGGTGGGTGACTTGGGAGAGATGGTGGGTTGGATGGGAGTTTGTTCTTCTTTTTCATTTTCATCTACTTCCTTTTCATCTACTTTCTTTTCATCTTCATCTTCATCTTCATCATCATCCTCTTTTCCTTGTCCTTTTCCCTTTCCCATATTACTTTCTGGAATAACAGGATATTTGGAAAGAACTTCATCAAGAGATGACGACATGACACGTGTAATATGATCGATAATGCTCATTTGCTCGATGATTTGATCTACTTTTGAAATGTGGCCGCTCACAGCCTCTGCGATTGTAGCTTCAGAGGTATATCGGATCTGTTCCTCTGGAGAGAGCTCGCCAGTGGAGATGGGATCATCGAGATCAGCTGTGGGAGTACTTGGAATCCGTGTAAGAATGGCGCGAAGATAAGTACTGAGGTGATCGAGTTTTGCGAGTACGATGGGTATATTTGCGTCACCGGTGGGTGTGGCTCCAGAAGCATCGGTAGGGAGAGTGTCGATAAGGTCTCCTTTTGGGATGGCACTAGATTGGCTTTCGAGTTGAACGGGGTTTGAAATTGTGTTGTTGGTATTCGGTGTGATTCCGATTCCCGAGTCAGCCCTGACGATACCCATCTCTCTTTCTGCAGAATTTTTGAGGGTAGGCTTGGAATGCATCGGATGACCACCGGATGGTGGAACCTGGACATTGGAGGAATTGTTGGACGTAGAAGGTGCCATGGTAGAGGAAGATGCAGGAGTAATGCCTTGATTATTCATGATGCCGAATATTGAGATCTTTCGTAATTTCACGATGCTTTGTAGAAAGGTGCAATGAAAGATGGTAGAAAATATCCTTTAAATATGTTCAAAAGATTATTTTTTCCCACCTAGGTAAACTAGCATTGAATACTAATGAAACTGTCCTCTAAGAGATACCAAGATGACCAAACTCCCTCTGGCCAACAAAAATTAGTGACGCTCAACTGGGAGTCGATCGACGTTTATCGAAGTTAATACAGAGCATGCGAGCTTGATTTTGTGAAATAATTTGTAGCAAGTCTGGGTTTCAAGTGGTGATCGATCCCTAGAACGTCTAGAAGACGTTGAATCTTGGCCCAGTCAATCTGCTAGATCCCCCTAGCGAATTTAGCGACAGGACTAAGTCGCTAGACTCCTCCACCCAGAGGCCACATATCATTTTCCCACGAATCCATCCAAAAAAAAACTTGCAAAGGAACGTTCAAATATCAAATAACAAAAGAATATGGATCGCATGTACAGACGAGAATGGTCTTGGCTAAGTTTCTGTTCACAGAATAGAAAAACTATAAAGAAAAGACAGATGACGCCAGGCACCAAATGCTAGAAAAAAAAATAGACGTTGATAGGAATGCGACTTTCAAGGTTAGCATCATACCGCCAGAAACGATATCTTCACAGCCATAAGTAAACCGGGAGCGATGTAAGAAATGATAATGTCAGAATGCCAAAAGAAAAAGAAAGAAGATCGAACTGATATTTAACAATTACGAGGCGCATGTGGCTTCTACGCCGATATGCAAACGTAGCAAGGAGGGCATAGGACTGCACAAACTTTGACAGGCAATACGAAATACAAGAGGAGCAGGATTGGATTGTCGAAGGGCTGAAACGTCTACGAATATGGGAACGACTTCCTCATAAACCAAAACAAAATAGCATAGATCCGATCTTGAAAGGTATATTTCATACCTCATACCTCATGCCGTATAACATGAGGCGCAATTCATTCTAGTGAATTTTAAGCCACCTCCAAGGAAAGGAGTCAATTTGCCCTCTTTACCATCAAATCACATGGAAGGCAGGTTTTCAAGCTCGCAATTTCCAAGTATTGAAACCTTATTTCGAGTGAGCTGAAGTGGAGATTGATAAGGAATGGAGCCCAAGAAAAAGTCGAAGACGGACGAAGATGAGTTGGAGAAAACATTGGAAAATCTTCGGAGGAGAGGGAGGATCACACCAATGAAGAAAGAAAAGGCAGTGGAAATAAAAGATGATGTGCTTGCGATGAGCCCCGAGGACTCGAGGATGGGTCAGCATCAGAGGTCAACAGTCTGATTTATGAAGACGAAATGGGCTGCGATCTCAAGGACTGTTGAGACCCTATTCAGGGAAACGGAACAAAAGGGGGCGAATGAGGAGTTCCAAGTATCTCAACAGTATAAACACCCATAGTGAAGGAGACGAAGAAAGTTTCAGGGAGGAAAGTATGAAAGATAAAGTGAAGTGATTGATATAATGGATTGATGACGAACGATTCATAATGTATTTGAATAGAGGGCATAAAGTTGGGGAATCAAATACAAAGAAAGAATAAGCTTGGAAATATTTTGTTAGATATGATACTCTTCTCATACTCCGCGTCCCAGCCAAAAATGTCCTTGACTTCTACAAGTCCCACCAAACTCCATAACTGATGATATCAAACCTTTTTTTCACTCATCGATCCATGTTGCAACTCTCTTAAACCTTCTTGCTTCTCTTCTTTCCTCCAGTTGCCTTTTCTGCCCCAGAAGTCTCAACATCACCGCTGCTCTCCTTCAATAATGCTGCCCATTTGTCATCCATACTTAGATCTGCTTGACCTTCTTGCTCAACCTTTTTCTCATCCTTAACCACTCTCTTTTGATCGACAACTCCAATCACTGAGATATTACTTGCCAACATCTCCTGGAATGGCTGTACAATAAAATGACCTTTCACATCAAACCATTCTCTAAAAGGTTTTCTCAAGGTTCTCTCTTCCTTTGGTTGTCCAGATCTGCCTTTGGCCGCTTCATAAATCTTAAATGTTAAGTTATAAATTGGCTGATGCTTTTTAGTTTGAGTAGAGATTTCGATGATGTGTTTCTTGTCTGGAGATGTGCCGATATATATAATTCCCTTCTCGACATAGAATAACCAGAATGTAAGGAAGGTATTGAGGATGAAGTAGATTCCAACTGCAATTGCTGTGTAGGACTTTGTGGGCTCAAAACCATAGGTGTAGTCCCAGTAGAAACAGGCACCGCAGACTAAGACAGATGTATAACCAATTGCCAGACGAGCATCGGAGAGAGTATGTGACTGGGTGAATTTGAGAGAGTTTAGGTAGGTGGGGAGAGCATCGTCGGAGGTGTTTTTGAGATCTAGACTGAATATCAGTATTGTAACATTTGAATACCTCTCGTAAATGGATATATATACTAACCAGGGAGAGAATGCACAGATATCCTTTCTGAAGCCATGATTGATGTTTGTTCTCTTTCAGAATTATGTGGAGGGGGAAAGCTGTTGTCGCAATGTACACAAAGAGACCGTGTCTTGATGAAGCTCTACTCGCAAGGGTCCGAGGTTAGCGTGAAAGCCACATTTGATGTCAGATTCAACCACAGATCTAGGTAGAATTCAACTCGCGACAACCCCTCATACATAATCTTCTTCAACAAAATAGACTAGGAAGATATTGCAAAGATGGCACAAGTTCCTGTGCAGACGATCCATAGGGATCCCCAGTTATTGTGAGCAAATCGCCATTTTCCATGTTGGATTGAGCTGATAAACATGTAGCTACTGGATCTTGATACCTATTACTATTGTTATGGTATGTAATTCTTACTATTCTGATATTCGATCTGCCATCCTAACTCATCATTCAGATTTTGACTGGTATCCTTCGTCACTATGCTACCGTTCTTATGGCCACTACTCCTAAAAAACAAGAGCTTCCAGCTATTCGCGAACAACGATCCTTACTTCGAGGTATCAACCTTCGCAATAACGCTCATGTTCTGACTCCCGCCTCTTTCCAACCACGCAGAGATTATATCGTACAAGCCTTCGAGGAAGGAAAGTTCCTGAAGGAGCCCGAGAAGAAGGGACAAGCAGCTCCAAATCCAATGACTGATCCAGCCGCTATGGAGGGAATGATGGGCATGATGAAGGGAAATATGTCTATGATGATCCCACAGACTTTGATTATGGGATGGATTAATGCATTTTTCAGTGGATTTGTTATTAGTGAGTTGCTTACTGGAAGTATTATGCGGCTATATGTACTAATATGAGACGTATAGTCAAATTGCCATTTCCATTGACGATTAAGTTCAAGAGTATGTTGCAAGCTGGTGTAGCTACCAGAGATATGGATCCACAATGGATGTCTTCCATTTCGTGGTATGTTCTTTGTATCTTTGGATTACAATCTGTATTCAATTATCTATTGGGAAGCGACAATGGTATGTTAATCCTCTCTCAGTGTGATGATAAGAGGTAATGCTAAGTAAATATAGCTGCAAGTCAAATGGCCCAACAAATGGGTCAAATGGGTCCAGGAGCAGGCGCACAAATGTTTGGACCAGGTGTAGATCCCGACAAGCAATTCCAAGGCGAGGCTGAGAATTTATCTGTCTTGGCTCACAAGAGTACATTAGAGGGCGTAGAACAGAGATTACTGGAAAGCGTGAGGGTATAAATCAAATAGTCGGCCTAGAGTATCTGATTGGCAAAAGTACTTCCTGTTGAAGTCAACGGTCTTTGATCGTACACAATACATGCAAGAGATACCCTATAACTCGAGTCAAGACATTCACGCCTTCTGGGATCAGAAGGTATGACAAACGGGCGCCGGCTAATCCTCTCATGCTACTTCATGTCACTGACAAGTGGTTAATTATGTAAATCTATCTTCAACATCACAGTTTAATTAATACGTCCTTACTTTAAAAACATGTGGTAGGTTTGTTGTTTTCTGAAGGCATGTAAGGTCACATGAGTGACCCAGACGTTCCTTCCATTTTCGACTTCACTTTCCACTTTGAATTTAGAAGTCACGCTAGATCGTTACCTACCCTTTTGACCGTAAAGATTCTCTTATTCAATTCCATCTCTTCCATTCTCTGTCAATCTTCCATCATTCTATCTCCATCATTACTTATTATCGTCCAATTTACAAATCTCATTTCTCGAATGTTTGCATGGTATTTTATCATTCATGTTCCGTTCTGCTTCATTGGATCTTCCCGACGAGACAATGAATATGCCTCCACCAAGTAGAATTTGAAGCAGATCTGCAAGCAGAAATGCGACGCCTCCAGTTCTTAAGCTATCTCGTCCTTCTGAAAATGGTTCTACCTTGCCAACCACACATACAGTAAGTATTGATGATTACATTTGATGGAATTGAAGCTGACATGAAGGTTTCAAGTTGACTCCGACTCATAACAATTCAATATTTGGTGATGTTGAGAAGGTTTCCAAACCTGCAGATTCCATAGTAAGTATTGAGCTTTCCATCCAGTGACTTCAAAGCTGACATTGAGCTTTCAGACTGTCAACACCAAACCTGTTGAACCAACTGAGGCCATTGAGAATGATTCTCCTGCCAAGAGAAGAATCAGCGGAGTCGATATGCGCCCCTACAAAAAGACACGTTTGCTGGCGTGAGTATTCTCAAATGTCAATTCATAACTTGATAAACATGCTAACGTCCAACCATAGATCGTTTTCCGAAACTGTGAAATTAATTGTCGGTCCCAAAGATGGAACCAAGACGTTTGTTGTTCATAAAGATATGCTCTGTGCTGCAAGTCCCTTTTTTGAGGCTGGCTTCAAACCTGAGTGGCAAAAGGGAGGAGATGCCACCATGGAGCTACCTGAAGACGACCCAATATATTTTGCGCCATTGGTCTATTGGATCTACAACAACGAAATTGTCTATCTGTGTGGATCTTTAATAGCACCAATGGGAGAGCTAGCTAAGGTTTACCAATTGGCTGAAAAATATATGATGCCACGACTCCAGAACGATCTTATTGATTCTTTAGTTTATGAGACTATCACCAATGGCCAATTGCTTGTTCCACGCACTATATCTTCGATTTTCGAAAACTCCCCAGCAGCATCGAAGCTTCTTCTTTTTGCAGTCAACCGCAGTCTCAAGGATTGGGCTTATTTTCGACACTTGGTCTCAGAACCAGAGGAGTTCTCCGCAGACTTTCTCTTCGAAATATTTAAAGCTTTCGCAATGAATCCGGAGGTAGGAGTGAAATACACCTTCTTGAAATCAGATAATCAGTATTGTGAGTTATATCACATCCATGAGGCCGAAGAGGAAGGAAAGTGCAAATCTCTCAAACTCCCCGAACACGTAGCGTCGGATTGAGTTGATGGAAATGGGTGGACATTAGCTTGGGGCTCTCAGAATATGTATCTCGTCAGATTAGCTATTTTTAACAATCACTGCGCTTCTTTGATTTTCTACACGCTCATAAACCCATACCACAATCTTTGCATTGTCAGCATAATTTCCTCCTTCAATGCATCAATGAAGACGTGATGATTTCTCGCCAGACTTTATCTCTAATTGAAATTCCAGTTGAGCATCGACGAATGCTCCATAAACAAAACCTGTTAGTTTCAAGGCCTCGAAGCTTCATGACTTTTAAGTGTCAAAAATACCTTTCAATCGAATGTTCTTTTAGACTTCAGAGCCTCTTCAATGATCTTGCTCAAATTGACATTCAAGTTGCTCTCTGGTTTGTGTTTCCATGTGAGCTTTTCCTCTGGATCGCGAAGTACTCGAGTAGATTGGGTATCATATTCGTAGCATGGATTGTTACGTTGAGCATTCTTTTACTTTACTGTTGTATGTACTCAGGCAAGTGACCTCAAGTCCTTTTACAGACCTGCTATGATGTTTGTGTGGATTTTGTAAGATATTATTTTCGATTCTCAAAGAATAGTATGAGTGAGCTCATCCTGTTTATCTAGGCCTTATTTTCTGTTCTCGGTAAACGCATGTTTGCCTATCCCTCCTTTGTTTTTTCCCTTTCTGAAACCTTTACATACTAGGCCCTCTTATTTTATCATGCGCAGTGCACTCGGGTGATGGAACCAGTAGGGACTATCTGATGAGAAAGTCTGATTTCTGATTCATTTGTTATGTAGTTATAGAGATGGGGAGGGACCGAAAAGATGATTAGATCAGAAACGAGGACTACGAGTCCTGGACTCACTCAAGAAAAGTATGGCACATTTGAAAGAAAGTGTAAGATGGCTTTGCAAGATTGGAGGTTCTACTGTGACTCCTGTTCCGATCGTAATCCAATGACGGATAGAAAGTCCAGATTCAAGAATGCAAAGTTTGCTTTTGGCATTGATAGACTCAGAGAAATGTACAAATGAACGCAGTAGTTTTGGTGGAAGTTACAATGCTTAGCTTTTATGTAAACTGACATTTAATACTTGAGCACAGCAAACCACTCTTCGCGAAAGACCCTTTTCCATGCCTGAACTCCAAACACCTGATATCTTGATATTACTGTACAGAGTGACAATGAATCATGCCTTCTTTGACCTTTTCACAGGCTCGTCATCACTAACAATATCCTCATCATCATCATCCCCACCCTCATCTTCATCAGCTACGTCCCTGCTTCTCTTCAGTCCCTTCATCTTTCTGGTTTGCAACTCCTTCAAGTCTTGTTTACCAAGATGTATTCTACCCATCTTGTCACCAACAATATCCGTGGTGATATTCTTCTTTGGTCTCTCTGCACTTCCTCTTGCTCTTCTCATTGCCTCCTTCATTATGCTCTCATCAGCTTCCTTGACTCTACCAACTCTGAAATCCATTCTTGGTCCCATCTCCTCAACCTCAACTCTTGGTAACTTCTGACCACTCTTCTTGGTCCTTATCAAGTATACTCTAAGATGAATCTTTGGTTTCTCCTCCTCTCCATCTACACTATCCCTGGCTGAGATGGAAACGATATATTGAAGACCCTCCACATCCACCTTGTCTGCTGGCTCTCCCTTGAAGAAGTCGAGGAACATCGATTTCGCAAGGGTATATTCGTCGGAGACAGGGCTTTCGAATGGAGTACCCGAGAACAAAATCATAGGCTTTAATCCGACGGCGCATTTCTTGTTCTTGAATTGACTCAAAGTCCTGAATGAATCCGCATCAAGATTCAGCTCTAACAAATCCAAAACCTTATAATCGAACATTCTACAGAAAGTAATAGAATGTGGGCGTTTCTTGGATGAGGAACCGAAAACTAAGAGGGAAGCATCGTTCTTCTCGGAGAAAAACTCAAGGGAAGAAGGATCGTCGAATGGATGAATACTGTTCTTCTTGGTGAATTTCTTTGCGAGAGGCAAATGAAGGGTGTGAAGATCTGTGAGGCAGTCTTGAGTCGGCTGAGAACATGTTGTATAACGGAGAAAGAGAGCGGTTTTGGGGTTCTCGACTGGCTTGGGTGCTTTTTTGGTGAGAGCGCGCTTGCTGCGAGCATTACGGGGTTTGCTAGTAGAATATGTTAACATAAAAAGTTCAATTGGATTTGGAAGGAGAACTATAAGTACTTACATTTGACGTAACATGATGAATTGGTATTATGTGGTATTATGTGATTGTTCAAAGGGAATGAAGATATTAACAAATGCCTTCTTTACTTCTTCTCCAAGCTCGAACTTTTTTTTTGCGATCCGATAATAGATAAAGCACTAGCGCCGAAATTATTCCATGAGGCATCAATATCTGAATGCCTGAATCTCACATGTTAATAATTCTACCCTGCGGACCTGAGCGGACGCTAAATGAATCCCAGTAACTTTGGATGAAAGTCTGTGGGGTAGCGAATGGATATCCGAATTCATGTTCATCCCCATAAACATGCCGAGCTTCATTCCTGAGTTTACTTTTTGCTTCATTGACTTTATTTCTTTGACAATACGTCTGCGACTTGAATACTGAACCGAATAGATACACATGAAGATACAGAGATAGTATTCTTTACTTCTTTCTCTCTATTCTTCAAGAAAATTGCTGGAATTGGAGAATTAAGTTACCGAGGTTCGTTTTTGTGCCGGTAAGATGGAGGGAAGAATTGCTGTCATAAAGGTAAACATCCACCGTTCTCATCATGACTTTCGCAATATACTGATGCGAAAGTATAGACAGCACTTGAGAGCTTTATTCTCGATCCCAAAAATGCCGAATTTCTCGCTATTCTTAAAGCTGCTCGCAGCGGCGCTGTCTATGGTGCCAAAGTCAGATTTCCCCATGCATTGGTGTAGGTCCCCCCTTTTTGTTTCGCCTTTACCGATTACCAGGCGCATAAGTTACTGAATACATATTCTAGCATGATGTTTCTATTCAGATCTGGTACTGTCCGTGAAAAGATAGGGCTGATACTCCGCGCAACGCGAACACATGCGCAAAATCTCGCGAAATATGCTACGATATATAAGACTACGATGTTAGCACTCAAATATTCAGGGGGTAATAAGGGGAAGGAGGGAAACTGGGATACATTCTTAGCAGGACTATTAGGTGGATATGTGGTATTTGGAAGGAGGTCAAAGAAAGGGCATGTTAGCAGTGTTAGCAAACAGATTGTGATATTCGGTATGTTTTTCTTTTCAATCAATGCTCCAGTTATCTAGATTCGAGAGAGATGCTAACGTATCGGCGCGCACAGTATTCGCACGAGTATGTTTGTCATTAGCACAATTAGCCGTTCTACCTTCAGCAGGAATTATCCGAAATAAAGATCTTGCAGATCGCATATCGAACGACGCATGGCCAGTATTTGCAGCACTAAGCTGGGGAAGTGTTATGTGGTTGTTCAGATGGTATCCGGAGACGGTGCAGAGTGGGTTAAGGAGTAGTATGGATTATATTTATGTGCAGAGCGATACTTGGGATAGTTTGAGGAACTTCATCATACACAATAAATAAAGGATTTTGGGAAGATGAATGGGCATATATCAACAAACGAAGAATATACCGTTTAGTATGTAGGTCGAGGATATAAAGGTCGAGGATGTTTAGGGAAGTGTATAAGATAATGGTTATAGGAGCAAGCGAGCAGGTCATAGATTGGAGATTGTATGTTTGCATATTATACCATTCGCATTCATGGGACGAATGCCTGGTAGAATTAGATTATCTCGTAGGTTGTGGTCTTAATTTATTATTATATTAATCGTATATCTGATGTTTTGTTTTCGCTTTACAACATGGGGATTGGATTCAGCTCCAAAATGCCTGCCTAGTATCTTCAGCTTACTTTATTTATTCTTTCCGTTGCCTCAGAGTAATGTATGAAATTTCAGCCAATATCTCATTTCATCCCGACTTTCCCAAAATAGCATCTGTTGTAAGGAAGGTAAACAGTTTGTTGATTGCTTTAAGGAATCATCAGAATTCAACATACTAGAACTTGTCCTTTGTTTCGCTCTCCGGAGAAACCGTCCTTTGTAACGAAAATATAATCGCGGTGTGAAGTCTATGGGAATTCAAGATATGATGAAACTCAAGAGGCTTTTACATAACATCAGGAAGATCTTGGTAATCTTGGTGTAGTCGGCACGATTACATGGATGATCTTGGGTAGATACCCGATAAGTGTCGGACTCCACGTATGGGGAAGCTGAACACTAATAAGCCAGCCATCAACATATTGACAAAGGCGATTTCTAGAACCCTTCCTAATACTACCCTCAATAGATAATTTTACAATTCACCCTTCTTTCTCTCTTTCAACTATTGACCACTCTAGATTTTTAAAGATTGTTCAAAAGCAATGTGCATCTCGAATTGATACAATTTTATATGGTATTGGCGTAGCTCTGGACTCCAAGACCCACTGAAACTCTTGTACCCTCAGATATGGCTGGGCATCCTGAAGAAAACGCAAAGCTCCTGTCAACAGAGCAGGAGTCTGTCTCGCGAAATTCATCTGATTCTGTCGCCTCGTCTGCTTCGACTACGAGTTTGGTCTTTGATCGAATCGGCGAACGTGTTGCTGCGAATGGGTCTGAAAAACCGACAATGGTGACACCCAAATTTCCTCCTCGAGGAGAGATGGCGTATGCGGATGATGAACATACGCAAATACATTTAGATGAGGAAGAGGAGAAGGATTATGATATGGAGGATGGCGCATTTCTCACAAATGGAGCAACGAACAAATCAGTCGACAAGAAATTGAGAAGATTGATATGGATTATCGGAGGAGTGTTCATTGGAGCCTGGGTGCTGGCATTGTTTATATTTTTGGGGAAACAGGCATACAAACATTCATCGGAAAGTCCTCACGATCCACAGGCAACATCCTCGAGGGGGAGCGGGAAGAAGGTTACAATGGATCAGGTTATGGGCGGACAATGGAGAGCGACTAAGCACAGTATAAGTTGGATTGAAGGAGCTAACGGGGAGGATGGATTACTCCTCGAACAAGGTTCAGTCGGAAAGGATTATTTGATTGTGGAAGATGTCAGAACACAAAGCCCTTCAGCTGTAGGGACTCTAGACACGATGACTTTGATGAAGAATGGATATTTCGAAGTTGCGGGACGAAGCTTGACACCAAGCAAAGTATACCCTAGCAAGGACTTGAAGAAAGTTTTGGTGGCAACAGATGTTCAATCAAACTGGAGACATTCCTTTTATGCGAAATATTGGATCTTCGATGTCGAATCTCAAACTGCGGAACCATTGGATCCTGTAGATTTAGATGGCCGAGTTCAATTGGCCAGCTGGAGTCCACAGAGTGATGCCATCGTTTTCACTCGAGATAACAATATGTACCTTCGAAAACTAGCTTCGCCAACTGTTGTCCAAATAACCGTGGATGGTGGTCCAGAATTCTTTTATGGTGTACCTGATTGGGTCTATGAAGAAGAGGTATTTGCTGGAGCCAGTGCAACATGGTGGGATGATAGTGGCAATTATATTGCATTCCTTCGTACAAATGAGTCCGAGGTACCTGAATACCCAGTCCAATACTTTGTATCAAGACCTAGTGGGAAAGATCCTTTACCTGGAGAAGAAAATTATCCCGAAGTTAGAGAAATCAAGTACCCCAAAGCCGGTGCTCCAAATCCTACTGTCGATCTTTTGTTTTATGATATTTCCAAGGCAGAAGTCTTCGAGGTCAAGATTGCCGGAGGCTTTGAGCCAAAGGACCTTTTGATTACAGAGGTAGTTTGGGCTGGATCGACGGGTAAGGCTTTGATCCGCGAGACGAACAGAGAAAGTGATATCTTACGAGTTGTTCTCGTTGATGTCGTGGCTCGAGAGGGAAAGACTGTACGATTCACAGACATTGCAAAACTCGATGGTGGATGGTTTGAAGTATCCGAGGACACTCGCTATATCCCTGCGGATCCTGCAAACGGTCGTCCCCACGATGGATATATTGATACTATCATTCACGAGAATTATGATCATTTGGGTTATTTCACGCCGATGGATAATCCTGAACCTATACTTCTTACCTCTGGAGACTGGGAAGTAGTAAAAGCGCCTTCTGCTGTTGATCTCAAGAACAATCTTGTCTATTTCGTTTCTACTAAAGAGTCACCAATTACAAGACAAGTATACAGCGTCAAACTAGATGGTACGGATATGAAAGCTATCACCGATATTTCGACAGAAGGTTATTACGGTGTTTCATTTTCTAAGGGTGCTGGATACGTACTCCTTAACTACAATGGCCCAAATATTCCATGGCAGAAAGTTATCAGCACTCCCAGCAACAATAACCAATACACACATGTCATTGAGGAGAACAAAGAACTAGCTGATATGGCAAAGAAACACGAATTGCCTATTTTAATTTACCAGACTGTCACAATTGATGGATTTGAATTGCAAGTCGTCGAACGCCGACCACCACACTTCAACCCAAAGAAGAAGTATCCAGTATTATTTTATCTTTACGGTGGTCCCGGATCTCAAACTGTTAGCAAGAGCTTTGGTGTTGATTTCGAATCCTACATCGCCTCAAACCTCGGATACATTGTTGTGACTGTCGATGGCCGTGGAACCGGATTCATTGGACGAAAAGCCCGAACCATTATTCGTGGCAACATCGGTCACTATGAAGCACGCGATCAAATTGAAACTGCCAAAATATGGGCTAGCAAAAAGTATGTCGACGAATCGAGAATGGCTATTTGGGGTTGGTCATATGGTGGTTTCATGACATTAAAGACCTTGGAAGAAGATGCTGGAGAAACATTTTCTTATGGTATGGCAGTTGCGCCCGTTACCGATTGGAGATTCTACGATTCTATCTATACGGAGCGATATATGCACACACCACAACATAACCCTAGCGGATATGACAATACCAGCATTAGCGATGTTAAGTCACTCGCCAAGAATGTTCGATTCTTGATTATGCATGGTGTAGCAGATGATAATGTTCATATGCAAAACACGCTTACTTTGTTGGACAAACTCGACCTTGCTGGTGTGGAGAATTACGACGTACATGTTTTCCCAGACAGCGATCATTCCATCTATTTCCATAACGCGAACAGAATTGTTTATGATAGTAAGTAATTCCTATGACATTTGATTTATCCAAATGCTGACCACTCCACTCGCAGAACTTAATAACTGGCTTATCAATGCATTTAATGGAGAATGGTTACGTACTGCAAACGCTGTACCTTTAGAAATTGATGCAGCAAAAGTTTAAGATATCAAGTAAACGAGGAAGTGAATAATGAGATGAGAGTATCATAGGAGCACGGCGTTCACAGCGGATGGGAACACCTTTGAACATAGACATGATATTATAGTTTCATTGGTGTTAAATTACTTTTTCATGAGAAATATTACATCTGTTATCTCTAGGGCCTGAGCCTATAATCCATTTCTCTTTGTTGTTTTATAAATTGTGATGAGAGGAAATGATAATGACAAAGATGAGCGAAAAAGGAAAATAATGAAGATTAAGGGGATTTTCTTTGTTATAAAAATGTTACAATGCATTACTCCAGGGCCCTACCTTTTCTCGATTTCTTTTAGAACTACATACCGCTCACACGTCGTCAATCAAACATCAAACCGTAAGGAACCGAACGATGGAAGACTCGGAAGCAATCTCAAGCTACGCTTGGGTCGTACGCTCTTGAATTCTACATCCTTGACATGTCGTGGCGGCGCATCGAGTTGTTGCAATATACGCATTCGTTCGCTCTCGAGATTTTGACGTTTGAGTTCTTTTTGATATTCTCGAGTGCGTGGAGATATTTGGTTGATAGTCTCGTGTTTTTCGCGTGCTTGGAGTTGTGGTTGGGTTGGAGGAACGCGAGAAGGTGTGGGAATGGAAGGTCGTCGTGTGTCGTAATGCGTGGGGATTTGAGCGAAGGCTAGGGGGCTGAATGTCTCTTTCTGGATTGATGATTCTGAGAGAGGGTATTCGGAACGGGATGGTGTGGATGATGAGGCTGATAAGGGGGTGGATTCTGGACCTTGGGTTCCACTGGAAGATCGTCTTTGAGGTGGGATTTGGAGTCTGAGTGGTGGAGATACGATGGAAGATTCCTCTTGAGCTTGACTTCTTTGATGGTTTCCCCCTGGGACCAAACGATCGGGTGTTCCCGACGGCGTAGAGTCTGTTTGAAGTGATGCAACTCGTGGTGCTGGCGCAACACCAAGTCTTCTAGTTCTAGGGTTGTTGTTCCAAGATAGTGGGGGTGAAGTAAACTTTGATCTCTCTGGCCGTGATCTCGCAAGTCCTCGATTCACAGGTGAAGGTCTCTGCTTGATTCCAGCAATCAAACACAACGGGAATCCACTACGTTGACTTGGCAAATCTTGTCGATTCTTGACTTCTAAGCTGTGGCTCTGTGTGATGTGTTCGAAGAAGAGTTCTTGATCTTGAGCGCGAGTCAAGGTCTCGGAATTCCAGTTTGGAAGAATCCCAGGAATGGGCTCCTGTGGTGTAGTGGGATGCCATTCGGGGATTTTCAAGCACATGTCTTCGAGGATGTCTCGAGTGAGGACGCCGGTGGGATTGGATGGTTGGTTGCGATTGCTGCATCGAATGCAAGGGTTCATGGCAGTGATTTTGGTAGTAATGGGAGTGTGGGCTGCGTCAGATCGGTCAGCGCACTTTTCGACTAGAGATGGAGCCGCAACCTTCGAACAGGTTGGGCAAAAGGTGAGGGTGAGGTTGCACATGATAAAGTATCACTGAAGGAGCTTGATTTTTTGAAGAACTGGGTAAACAGAGCAGTGTTTAAAATAGAGATGTTGATTTCGTGTTTATTTTGAAGAATATTAGAAAAAATTAAGACAACAATATAAAGAGAAAATGAACATAGTTGTAGACGCGGAATGCATCTGTTCAAGCATTGTTCTGCCTTGAAAAGTAACCAAGTATCTTGGAGACTTGTCATTTTCACCTCCCCTCAGCGTGAAGTATTCTTTTTCTGGAGACTAAGAATGTATCTTTCTTTGTCTTGTCGAGAGTAAGACAACAAAGGAAATGACTGGACAATGTAATTGTCATTTTCAAAATAGAACGGCTTATGTATCTCGCACAAAAAAAGTCTTTGAGCTACGTTCAAATTGCCAAAACCCTTTGTTAATCAAAGGACAAAGGATGACCTAGCTATATAGCCAAACAACATTCCCTGAACAATCCAATTGTAAAGAACAGCAATCCACAGAACCGCACTTTCATTACACTCGCAATTCCAACTTTCGTTTTTCGACCTCAACTACATTCGAAAAGTCTACCCTGGTGGTAACTTATATACATTAATTCAAATCAATTATTCAGAAAACAAAGCAAAACAAAACAAAACAAAACAAAACAAACAAGCAAATAGGTAAGCCCAAACTCATCTCCAACTAAAGAGTATCAGTCAATCAGCACCATGTCCATGTTCCAAAACTCACGTCCAACCCCCCCTCCCAAAATGACCTCAAATTTCTACACCAACCCCGAATACCAAAATAAAAAAGCGCCGGCACATCGTCGCACAGGCTGCATCACATGCGATGAAGGCTATATGAATTATATCCCTCCCGCCCGCGATCCTCATCTCCTCCGCCAGGAATTCCGTCGTCGTCCTTTGAATGCTCCGAAATTAGCACCGTTACATATACCCGGCTCACTGAATCATAACGATATCGCATCGCTGCGTCCGCAGGTTCAGCCGGGACAAGAAGAATACGCTTTTTTGACGGATTGGCAACAGAAAGAATTGGCCAAGGCCAGGGGGAAAGAGGGCGGGTTTAGTGTGCCTGAAGAGGATAGGTGGTGGGAGGAAATCTTCTCGAAGAAAGTTCTCTGTAGGGGGTTGATTATTTTTGGGTTGATTTATACTTTGGGTGCGAGTGGTTCGAGAACTGCTTAGATGAATATTTCAATACTGAGCTTTGGTCGGGGAGATAGGTTGGTAAGTAAGTAGCTAGGTTTGTTAGATTTTTCTCTTCTCTTTTTCTATTATTCTTCTCAAAATATTTAATAAGTAATTTTTCTTCCTTCACATTAAGTTTCCCATGTAGAGAGTAGCTATCATGGCTTTCTTTAATCATTCGTTTTGTATGTGACATTGGTATTATTGGTTCTTTCCGAACAAAGAAATAAATGTATCGTTCTTCGACGAACAACAAATGCGCTTGGAATTAGAACAGAGAAATTGATACCGAATATATGACTAATGTTTCTATTTGGATTGTCATTTCGGCAATAGCTTGAAGAACCTTCGATGTTGTGAGGTTCTCGTGTTACTTACTCATAATGCTGGTTGCTGTGAACAGTAAATCTCTCCCCGATAATGTTCGGGTTCCCTGCAGGCAATTACCCAAGAAGTGCGGCATATTGATAATGATATGCTAACTTACGTCAGCGTGACATTGTATGTTTTTGTCCCCGATTGAAACGATAATTCTATCAAGTTGATGCCGGGTGAAATCGCATTCTGTACACCGGCCTGTGTACCTAAGTAGTAAAATTATAATCTTACATGGCCTCACAAAACAAATCCTAGGTAGCTCGAGCAGTTCTGGAATTCGATTCTTACCGGTTAAGCATTTGTTAGCGAGATTTCACTTCAATCCCTATAGGAGGCCAAGTGTACTAGTAAGCTCCTGAGGCCGCTTAGCCAGTGAGTGATAGATTGGTAAAACTCAAAAGAGCCTTTTGGTAGGTGAAGGACCGGGAATTAGCGTGGAATCTTTCGAGCTAAGAATCTTAGTTCGTTTAAGCGAAGGGTTTGTCAGTACAAATTTTCAAGCTAAGGCTTTTAGCGCGCCAGACTTTAGTTGGTCACCAGAAATATCATGTGACGCAAATGGTATTGTTATTCCAACACAAAAGTGTTGAATTCGACGCTTAATAAAACACAGCAAAAACAGAGCAAATTTTTGGGTTAGTTCTCTATGGTAAAACTGTCTTAGGTAACTAACCTGATTCCTTGTGTAAAGCATACCAAGCGTTTCCGTCGCGAATTTCTATCAGAACCTGAATACTGTGGGAGGTTGACTTTGATTCTCGGTGCATCCAGATCTTACTTTCGAGACAGGAGAGCGACTTGTAACCTTAATTGCCTGTCTGATTCACTTATATCACCGAAGATTATTGAAGGGCGCAATCTCTACTGAATCGTATTCGAATTCTGACCTACCTTTTTCAAAGATTCACCATTAAAATCAAAAGCGCAACCGAAGCCAGACCGTGACCTCTGGCCATTTCATACAATTGACCGAGGCACAATAATGTCTGATATAGGAATGACCCCTTCCAAAGGTTGCATTCGCCGTTATCCTTAGAAGCTCTAGTTGCTGATACGCCGATAAGGTAGATAGATAATTGGTCTTTAGTATTATGTCAAGTCTACATAGTTTTGAAATCGTTGAAACATTGGGATTGAGTGTGAAAGACCAAGCCAGAGGTGAGGTTTCATCGGTACAAGTTCGTCGATCTAGAAAATGTACATGAAGCCGGTAGTCTCTGGAAAATGATAGGCCTAAAGTATTTTGATAGTCAACCTCAAACTCAATGTCTTTTATTGGCAACTCATGAAATGGCGTAACTATGGTCAAGTCAAATAGTGGCTGTATCACGACGGGGTTGTCACATTTTGTCCAAGTTTAGTCAATTCCTTTTGAGTTACTAGCAAGAAGTTGTCGGCCAGCCGACTCTAACTATTGAAACCACAAACAAATCTGCAAACCAATTATAACATGAATTACTCCCAAATCTTTCCTAAATTGTGATACCAAGGACCGGTTCTGATAGGAGCATCAGTCTCAGTAGCCAAAACCTCTTCTAAACCACTCGTCATATCAAAATCAGCTGGCTTCAACATCCATTCATCCGACCGATGAAATATGCCATGACAAAAATAGATGGTAAGGAAAATAGGAAGACCGATATAAGCGGTGAGAAAAGATGATACACTCCATTTACCAGGAAAGAAAACGCTAAATTCGTTACAAAGAAGAAGGATTGTAAAAGCGCAAATCGAGACGTAGGCCAAATAAGGCTGGAACCGCGATTTGTATGGGAGATCCGCGATCTCATGTGCAACACATGCTTTTCGAAAGCGGAAAAAGACTATGCAACAACAGATCCAGGAGATGAATCCAGAAGTATTGGTGAGATTGATGAACCAGTTGAAAACTTGTATTCCATTACTAGCGCAGTTGAGATAGGCCAGGAGCGAGAACATGGAGCTGGCGATTAGCGCTGGATAAGGTACACCCCATCTGTTACATTTTTTGAATACCTTTGGTGCATTACCAGAAAGTGCGAGGGAATACAAGGATCTACTTGACATATAGAGGTAGGAATTTCCTGAAGACCATGCGGAAGTAATGATTACCGCATTGATGACGCTGTCTAACCCGGTGATGCCAGCATTCTTGATTGCTATAACCCAAGGTGATGATGTTGCACCGGCTCCACCGCCAATTAATCCTGGAGCATTACTACTCACAATGACGCCTATTGCAAGAGTTCCCCCAATGTAGAAAATGAGGAGTCGGATGAAGTATCGTTTGGCGGCAGTTGGGAGATTGCGACGTGGTGATTCCATTTCACCTCCAGTAATAACAAGTAATTCGGGTGCGAAGTTGAAGGAAAAGCAAGAGAAGACTAGAACATATAGAAAAGCGCAAAATCTTCCAGCGGATCCGCCGACAAGATATTCTTTGGTTGCTCCCGGATCTTTCCAGTAATGAAATTCAAGTGGCTGATGAGATGGTCCCCCACCACAAAAGAGGATGAAAGAAAGTATCAAGAGACCGATGATCATGAATACTTTCAGAGACGCGAACCAAAACTCAGTCTCGCCATAAACTTTCACCGGAAAGCAATTCAACCCGATGATGATCAAGAGAAGGATGGTGATCCACACAGCGATATTTACATCATTTGGCCAATAATCAATAACCAATCCCGCCGCCGTAATCTCGTAGGGAACAACGATAGCGAAAGAATACCAATACAGCCAACCCATCGCGAACCCAAGACTGGGAGACACGTAACGAGAGGCATATGACGCCATCGTGCTTCCATGAACTGGCATATATGTACTGATTTCTGTCGTCGCCGTCACAATACCATATACAAAGATGGTGATGAGACAATAAGCAAGAAAGAGAAAGGCAGGCCCTCCAGCGAAAAGAGCTTGCCCACTACCAACAAATAGTCCGGTACCGATGGTACCGCCTAATGCAATCATTTGTGCATGTCGAGATTTTAACCCGCGGCGAGTGCTCCCTTCGGATTTTGCATCGGGTACCGGGTCGAAACCTATCTCTGATTCATCAGAGGCTTTACCACTTTGCTTATCGGTGTAATTCGCATTTTGGATATGGGCAACATTGGTAGCTTTGTGAACTTGCTTGTCGGAGTATTCTCGATGATGCCAATCAGTAGTATCAGACAGGACCGGTTGATTGAATTCAGCGTTCATCTTGGAGTCTGAGTAAGAAATTTTTTGAGGGAATGTCAGTGAAGTAGCCGTGAAAGATATTGGTGCTACCTAGACTTTGGATCTGAAAGCTTGTAAAAATTGTAGTATCTAGTCAAATTATTAGGTATCTCTTCAAATATATATTCACCAGGAACTTCGTACACGGGAAGGAATTAACTTTAAAGCGCTACTACACAGTTACACGAAGATTGGTACAGTAGTACACCGACACCACTCTAATCGTGTAACTGCCATTTAACTGCTCATACCACGATGGAGAATGATGGAGATTGTAAAGATACTGTCACACAGTTGATAGGTAGGAAAGAATCGTGGTCAGGCTTCCAGCCTTGTTCAAGTACAGCATGATTTCATTGAAACTGAAGAAGACCATAGATCACTCTCTTTTCATCGTATTACTTGTGACAGAGTGCTTGATAGTCCAGACTACAGTTTAGAACGATAGATTATCAAATTTTTAAATCAACTAATATATTCAAATTATTTGAAATCATCGAATTTTATTGAAAGATTGAATTATTTTCAGATTTCTAATTGCTTTTGAGTGTTCAAATCCTTATATCATTGGACTGTAGTCCGGACTATTAAGTCCCCTATCTTGGTCACTAAATAAATAAATCTTATCGTTATTCGAGTAAAGTTAAACATTTAGCAAAAGGAGGGAAGGGATTCGAAAATAAGCGAAGATTCTCCACCTTAGGAACCAATCATGAAGGCCCTTTGAATCAAATCCAAGAGGAATAGACATTCGCACTACGAATAGTCAAGAAAACACTAGCATACATACCTAGGTAGATAATATTGAGTTTTTAATAATAAAATGAATTATTCCCACCTCTTCCCTAGGCTTCGCACAACTTTTCAACTTATTTCTTGAGCTATTTTCAATACTACCTACACCCACTCGGAGAACGAATATACTGGTTTTTGACGAACAATGAATCTTTCCAGGATGGCTAATATTACCTTATTGACTGGAAAAGGCCTAAAAACTGCCACAAACATACAATCACCCATTCTAAATAACCGTCTGCGTCGCAGCCCCCTCACCACCCCACCCCTTCACCGCCTCAACCTGATAATTAAGACTCCCTAGATCTATACCTAGCGCCGCCCAAGCCTGAAAGTGGTTATTTACAGTAAAATTCCCAATCCCATGCGTAGAAGATGATACCGACATATACTGATTATAAATAGCCGTTCCCACAATAGAAGGCTCGTTGATACGTTAGTTTTCCCAGATAGTATAGCTTGATACGTTGCTTGCGATGCTGCCATTTATGATTTTGAAACTAGAGGAAGAAGCGCTGGCCTCAACGATGTAGTACTTTACAAGTGAGTTTTCAGACTAGTTATAAGTTGAGAGGAGGGCGGTGTCGGATCCGATACCAAAGGTGCTGCTGAAATTTAGG